AAAGGATTGCTGTAATTTGTTTTGCTGTTTTTATTCTTACAAAACATTTATGTAAGAGTTCCAATACTTGTAGATCATCCACACACTTTGCAAACATTTGGCATGCAGACAAGACAGAGGTAGTCAATGTTCCCTTTGAGAAAAAACACCTTTTAAATGACGTCTTCAATTTACTTTATTTGAAACTCTGATCTGAAAATATTTGTTAACAAGACTTGTTAGTATTGAGAAGTACCAACCAAGTTTCCTTTCATAACCCAATTTCTTAAATTTCCCAATCATTGGATCTCCCAAAAAATATTACATCTTTTTATTTTTGGTGCAAAATACAAGTCCTTCTTTATATAAAAATGAAAAGTGCAAGTCACACTTCAATAATAACAGCTCTAAAGTTTACTTGTTGTTCTTCTCTGTCTGTCAGGTATCAAGAAAATTGTTTTATACTTCGGACAGTGCATAACTAGCTGTGGACCAGAGTTCCAACGCACCTCTGTAATGGCATATAGTTACTTCTGTCTCTTGTACAAATGTTTCTCCTTTGTAAGACGCACTCTACTCTGTTGTCACCACTGCTTTAAGTTCAGTGGAAACGACTGACTAAGGAATCGAGATGGCGGTGTTGGAACGTGTTGCTGAACGCTTGCTACGGTCAAGCTTTGTGGATTTAGGTACCGGTACACTGGGATCATCTATGTATCTCTTATACTTCCTAATGTGGTATCCTTTTTTTATAAATATGAAGGTAAAAGACGATTTGTAGTCGCATTCAAAACTGTGATTGGCTTGTGTTATTTCTCACCTTTGCCATGAACACAACTCAAGTGAGTTTCGAGTCTTTGTTTCCTCGACAACTTTCGGCCACAAATCGTGCATTTGTAATACGATCGATTCTTGTCGATTATTTCTACATAGAGTGAGCTCGCATCATTATTTATCTCACCAAGGTATCCATCGTCTAGAAGCAGAGAACTGGTCGTAGAAGTCATAAAATTGTGCGCTTCTCTTAACACTGCAATCTGCAAGCCAGCGGATTCACTTTGCTAGCCAATGACAAGTCCTAAAAGATCCACGTGATCATGCCCGTGATCGGAAACAAAGAAGACTCCATTTGGCGCTCATCTTTGAATGTACTTTTCATCGGTTGATCGCTTTTCTCTACTGTTTTGCTTAATATAACATTTATAAAGATAGCTTTTATTGTGGTTCAATGGGAAAACGAGAACAGCGTGGGTGTTGTAAAAGGAAAGAAAGTCGTTGGCGCCGTGGAGTTAAAAGAAGGGACAACAGTTGACATATTGACTGGTACAAACAAGGGTCGAGTGGCCATCTGTAAAGCTACGATTTTGAAAGTTTGTGGTGAGTAAAAATTGCGATATTCCTTGTAAACGTGATCAAAATCTTATAAAAGAATAGATGTAGCGGGTTGAATTAAGCTTACTTAACGCTCGGCGCAACTGAAACTAGAATAATTCTGAGAATCGAATCGGTCACTTGCATGCCGCAGTTTCTTAAGCTTATGCTTTACAATGAAATAAACCTATCAGTAAGGTTTCAAGATTCCTTTAGTCACGTTTGGGAACATTTAAGATTCATAATAGGAACTGTTACTAAACAAACCTTATTACATAAAGAAGCCCTCCTTGGTAAAAACAAAATAATGTATTAAGCCCCTTTTTAGTAAAATCTATGAGAGAGATGTACTAACTCCAATATGAAAGTCACTCAATATAACAGAGATTTCTCAATTTGAGAATCCAATGGATGCTCTTTTCCCTATAGCTATCTTAAAGGCCTGGTCTAAGCCATTAATATATATATTTAAATATATATTTTTTTTTCAAATTCAGATGTCGTGGAATCCAGATACAAAATGGTCAAGGTTCTTGTTGACAACCTCATTCAAGGCCAACTCACTGTGAGCCCAGGGAAAAAAATACAAACAGCAGCTAAGTTTGCAGCCTAGGATAACTTCACTGTAATTTATTGTTACATTATTTTACAAGAAGACTTTAATTTTATTTATCTGTAATTAACCCCTTCACTCCCAAGAGTGCTTGGTTTTCAAATATAATTTAAGATATTGTATTTTATGGAAAAGAATCAACAGATTTGTCAAACCAAATTTAATGATTGATTAGGACTATTTTATATGAATAGCTGTAATTGAGGCTTAATCCATATGAAGTTTTCAAGAAAAGAAAAATAAATCAACTTCCATCTTAATATTACCACAAGTTGATGTTAATAAATCATCAAAAATATTTTACATGTAAGCCTTAATTAAGCTTCTAAATAAATTTCATTGAATACTTGAATTTTAGCTGGTTTTTTTTAATTTAAAGTATTTATTTTATATCATTAGCCTCAAGTTTTTGCTTAAAATTCTCAGTAATTCTTAAACATTCCTAAAAATTCTCAGAAATTCCTAGGAATTTTTTAGATTTACAGCTTTTCAGGGAACGTCATTGGTTCTCTGAGTTGGAATTCCTAGGAACTTCAGCAAACTTTAATCATCAGAATTGTAAGCCAAGGTGAATTTACCAAGTGCTTAAGATTCTAAATCAGTCACCTACTTGTTACAGTGGAGTTCACTGACCTTTGTTGCGGATATCTTCAGCTTAATCATCCTGTTACATGTGAAAACATCAAATGTTACTCAAATATTCAAATAATTACCTGGATGAAAAGTAACAAGTTTTTTAATAACCTGCTTTCGTTAACCCTTTAACTCACATGTGTGACCAAGACAGAATTTCTCCTTACAATATCAATACAATATCAAGCAGACAAGTGATGAGAATAAAGAAGAATATTAATAAGGGATTATTAGTTTATCCAAAACCAAATTCTCAAAACTAACATCACAAGAACTATATGGCAGACATTAAGGAGAATTAATCATGAGATTTTGGGAGTTACAGGGTTAATTGTGCTCCAGGAATAGTAAATAGTATTGAAGAGAAAGGAAAAAAGTTCTTAAAACATTCTATGTTAAATGAAATTTTGTTATGAATGTTAATTGGGATGGCAACTCAAACATCTGTGAAACTATAATGATAATTACCTTCCCATGTAAACAAACCATAATGATAATAAAATAATGATAATGAAGCATGATATGACTTTATTTAATCTCACCTAGTTTGAATGTAGAATCCAAAAACTAATTAACTTACTAGGGAATGGGATAAAGCTCAACACATTTTTCCTGCTTCTGTCATTCTTAATATCACAAATCAATCACACCACCTCTTCAATGTGATTTTTTGAGATGTGTACTTACTCTTATGGACATCTATTCTTAGTTAATCTATCCTTTCACTGCTGACATCTGAGAAGAATCAAGTCCACACTGGTAACTTGACACATTGCAGGCAAACCCTACAACTGATTAAATTTTTCTTGATCAAAAACATGAAGGGCAATAGAGGAAATTAGCTAGCACAATCCAAGTTTCCCTTCTTAAGTATTTTGTGATATTTTTTCTATCACATGGTAAAGTTTGCAGTTTCCCTCATTTTACCATCTTCTGTTCATTTGTTTGTTTGCTTTCCTTACAACTTAAACTATTGTTGCCAACAAATGCGAGGAGCTTATAAAATGTGTACAGTTATTAACACTTTAATCCCTGAGAGTGACTAGCATCTAACTTCTCCTTTCAATATCATCCTTGAATCAACCATTTAGGCCATGAGAACAAAGGAAATGATAATCAACTGAAGAACCTCTCTATTGTCAAACAAATTCTGCTTGCCAGCACATTAGGAAATGTGTAGAGAACAGCATGGAGAATATGCATACTGATGTTAGGGTGTAAAGGGTTAAAGATATCATATAATCAGTTTTATATATTATGTAGAGTATTGCTTGAATATATAATTGTGGTGAGTGCAAGTGCTTAGTTAACATAATTCTATCACTGGTCGTCTACTCTTCCACCTTGGAGGGTGCCTTGTGTGCTTAAAAATTGAAGTTCAGTGCCTGTAGTAGCTTTTTTGGCAAGGACGATCAACAAAGAACAACAACCACACCAAAAAGTATTTTTAAAGACACCTACACAATGGTAGGTACACAAAACTGACATGTTTGAGTGAAGCATGACAAGCATAAGGTATGAGTGTCGATTTGTTTTTCATTACCTGCAAACAGCTTATTTCTATCAGCTTTGAAAACTTCTATATCCTCACTTTCAAAGAAAAGCATTTCCCATGAACATGTAAACATTACAGGCATAAGCTATCAGCAACAGGTTTTTCCATTGATTCACAACGTCAGATTCTCATCACGTGTTTTTGTTACATTTGAGAACATAAGAAAATTTTAATCATTACAATATAATGAAATCCCCCATTTTAACCCTTTTGGTCCCACTGGTGACCTAAACAGAAATTCTCCTAACATCAGTACGATATCAAGCAAACAATTAATGAGAGTAAAGAAAAATATTAATTAGGGGATTATTGGTTGATCTTATTCCAAATTCTCCAACCTAAATCACATACGCAACTAGACCGTTTATCCTTTGGCTAAACTATTCATGTTTAGGGTGCTCTGTTTCATGAAGGAAAACTACACCGTCTATAGTTTGGCCACGTCATTCCTTTATTAGCTATGCTACCCCGCAGCCGATCCTTAGACCAGCTTTGTATTTGCTGACCTATTCGACATCCTTGTAGTTTTAGAGGTGACGGCCGCCCATGTGCTTCTGGAAGATCAGGGAAGTGAGGCAAGCACCAGTGAAGGGCACATTAACGCAGTATTTTGGTTTTTATAGTAATATTTCATCGATCAGTGCAACACTTTTGCTTAAGTTTTTGAAAACGATGAAATGACTTCCACTTTCAAGCTTTTAAATGAAAGCATTACAATGAGTGCGCAATTATTGCTCATGTCATATTCTCATTTCCCGACCCAACGAGTTTATATGGGACAGTTATCAGTCACCAGCGAAATTCTCCCTCTCTGTCACACCAAGAACATTTACACTCAGCGATGTTTGCGACCAGACTATATTCTCAGAAATTAAACTCCTAAGGCAGCACCCTAACCACAATAATTGTCCCTTTTCGAATACTAATGATGAAGGAAAGCGATGTGTTTGTAAGGTTTCAACTTTTTAACCATGACCTTATATCAAGTATAGCTTTTAGAAAACTTAGAGTACTTCAACGCGTTCGTTCTGTTTTGTCAACTCATGATATGTGTGAGTAGTTTTGAAACCCTTACCGCGCCCGTGACTGCACCTAAAGCAGAAACTGAATCACTTCGTGAGTAATAGGAAATCATTGACGATTTAGGATGCAGTATGGAGAGAGATTTCCTGTTCGGGATGAACATAAATCATCATTGTTAGTTTAAAAGTTTTATTACTGGATTTTAGCCACTTATTGTTCGCTATAGCTGCTTAATGTAATGATAAAGTTTGAGAGTGAATGTCACTCGATGACACTAGTTAATCCTGCTTCATACCAACAAACTTATTTAAAATAGGCTCGTCTTTCAGTACTCTTGTTCCTAGCCGAATGACTAAAATTTAAGACCGAGATTTTACTAGATATACGGAATTGTAAACTTTATTCCAAGTCTCCCTGCGAAGTCTAGTTACAGGGGTTCCTTGCTGCATCGGCTCGACGCCCTTTCGCCCTAACAGCACTGAATTTCAGTCGCATTGCAGTATACGGACTATTTCTTAGATATAACACGTTTATAATTCATTCTTTGTACAGTTAAAGACATTGTACTGATCGATGATTAGACTAACTTGATTTACTTTGGGATGATACACCTTGTTTTATCACATAAAATATAATACGTGCGGATATTTTGTGAGTTGCGTTGTATTTTTTCCGAGCCCAGAAGGCATAAGTGAGAGACGGAAACAATACAAACGAAACCATAACCAACAATAACATCTGTAAATATGAAGGCGATCCTCGCATTTCACAGTTCTTATAGTTCACATAGTTCACATAGTTAGCAGTTCACCTATGAGTTTCATGTATTCACAATGAAATAACATCTGCTGCGCCGAACAGCTATTTTTCCAAGAAGAAAAGCCTAAAAACACGGAAAACAAAGGCACAGTTCGGATCGTTTACTAAACCCACTCTCTGACCGTATTTTTGACCCCGATCTACAGAGTAATTTATTGGCATATTTTGGCCGCTCCGATACCTTAAAAAGCCAAAATGACGTCCTAGTGGAATAAAAAAAATTTCTATAGCTTCTCTTCAAGCGATTCAAGAAACGGTTTCCGAGTTATAAATAGATATACCTTTGGGAACTATCTGTAATCCACGCCGCCCACGAACTGCTATTAAAAAATGATTAGTATACACTGGAGCTCATGAGGAGCTTTGAGTAAAATTTGGTTACATCTCTAATTTCTGTGACCTCCTCTTCCTAAATTAAATATAGTCGAACGAATACTAAGATATAGAGCGATTGTTCTTTTCAGTCCGCTCCACATTACTTCTTTTCTTTTAATTCAAAGTCAACACTCTCCGCCTCTGCTTTTTTGTAATAAAAAACAGACGCTCCACCTTGCTTATTTGGTCTCCTAGCTGGCTGAAAGTGGCCGTGTCGAAGGTGACCTCGGTGGCGGTACTGGTTTCAGTTTGGGTTGAATCTCAGCCTCCTGCAACTCCTTAAAGCTTTCCAGCGCTTTTTTTGCTGTCAGTCTGGCACGTGGATCTTCATTCCAGCAATTAGTCATGACATGCTCCCATATTTCCCATGGATGGTTCGTGCCTTCGATGTGGGCAGGTCGACAGCCCTGTCTCATCTTTTCGAGCTGATACACTCCGCAGGTTGTCATGGCCGTTTGAAAGGTTTGCTCACCATACCATATTTCCCAAAGTACAAAGCCAAAACTAAACATGTCAGCTTTGCTGTTGTAGACTCGACCCTCAAACACTTCAGGGGCCAGGTACAGAGAGGTTCCGATCATCGTACCAGTTATTTCTTTTTCATGTTTAGCTACTCCCACATCTGCAAGTTTCACTTTCTCGCCTTGCGTCAGCTATAATGAGAAAAAAGTTAAACTTAGTCACAAAAGTTGTAATGTACAAGGGAAACTATAAATGGCTTAGTGTGACGTTGCTGCTTTTTTGGTTGATTCCAAGGTCGTGTTTCATGGTGTCGAACACCAGATGCCACGACAAAGGTTTCGCCCCAAACATTCTTGTTAATCAGTTTCAATACACATTTACCAGCACATTTTCCAGCTTTAAAAAATGTCTGCCATTGATTTAAAATAAAGTTGCACCCAGGTATCTTTTTTTTTTGCCGTTCGACGATCGAGCGGGTGAATCCTCTGGATGGGAAAGTTGATCTTCTGCATACAAAGATCGAGGACGATCAAACGGGTGCAAATTGGTTCCATAAAACCGACAATGTTTGGATTAAGACAAAGATAAAAGCCTCATTTGCCATTTAAAATTTCAATCGTTTTTTAACCAAGACATCATTTGCAGTCAAAACTGATAGAAACCAAAAATGGTCCATCTAAACACTCGTCTACAAAATGGTTGAAGCGGGTCACTGTACATCTGCAACCAATGAATGAAAATCTGGAGAATTTTCAACATTTTCAACATCGCACTTTAACTCTTCTCTTGCGAAATCCGACTGCCTGATCTCTCGCAGAGTGTACACGGTTACATTGCGTCTCAGAAATTCCAGTTCGTTGTTTAAAGGCTCGTAGATCTTCCGAATCTCAGTACTGCCCCTCTCGTCTTCAAGCAGCCGTTGATAGATTAGCTCGTTACCTTCCCTCAGCTTTGGAATCTTCTCCTTGATCAGTCTTAGGTACAATACGGCGTCTTCAAATTGTTTACTGATGAACGGAAGCAAGCGGTCTCGATCACAAATAACTTTGAGGCATTTCCGTGATCGCTTTGACATGTAGGCACATGGGTCATCGCGGAACCTGTCCATTTTGGTTTTGCAGTGGAGCTTCTTTTTAAGTTTGGTTCCGAGCATTTTAAGTGGAGACCCTATCACCACTGATGCCAATCCTTGCCGAAGCCATGGCGGAGCAGTACTTGTTTGCAATCTTCCTCTTACTCTAGATCGTTTCAAATTTTCTCCACCTTCGTCCTGTGGAAGGTCGCCGTCCACCTCGTCCACGAAAAAAAAATCTTCTGCTACTTCGCGCATTTCTTCCTCCATTATATCATACTTTTTGCAACAATGTTGGATCAACGACACTCGAGCTCTGTCAAATTCGTTCTCTTCGTTTTCCCATTGCTTGACAAATTGGTGTGTTCTCTCTGAGACGTACTTTAACACCTCATTCTTTGTATCCCACCATGTTTCAAGGGGTTTGGGTACTTCATCTTTAGACCATTTGCAGAAGCTCGAGAGAGTTTTCTCCGATTTAAAGTGCAAAGCCAGCTTCTTGAGGATGTCTTCAAATATTTTCGACTGGTGCTTACTAAGTTCGTCAAATATACGTTTCTGAGAATTCTGTAGCTCCTCCATGCGTCTTAACACTCTCTTGATTTTTTCTTCTGTTTCCTGATGAGACATTTTTGCCGACTTCAGTTTTATGCAGACTTGACGAGACATGCGATCGAGTAGATCCTCTAGCCATCTGATAAATAATAATATAAAAATTGTTTTATGTCATAACTACAACTGCTAAACAATTGAAATGACAATCAATGAAAAAATTTTAATTTCTTGGAATTTTAATTGAAAAGCAAGAGTTTCCTGGGTATTAATTGCACCTCACAACAAGTGTGATGCATACCGTTTCTTTTACCTGATTCCTCAGTCAGAGACAAAAAAGCAAAATATATATTTTTTCTTCACCAAAAGTATCTTGTGCATTTTTCTATTTCAAAACTGATAGTCCCCACAGCTGAGATAAATCAATAAAAAGTGAGAACTAAACAATCGTTCGATGAAATCAGCTATTTACGATCGAGAGGCCATTCCTACGTTCGCACTGTCTTCTTACAGCATTGTTTACGCATAGAAACAACACAGTTTGACATCCTACACGTCGGATTGCTAAGCCGTCCTGAAAAGTGCGTGTTTGGACATTTTTAGTCGTTCGTTTCTTTCAAGAGGAGCCTCTAGCACAGGCAAGAAAAAAATTGTAATTTCCTCGTCAGCTTCACTTAATGCTGTATTTTCATCGAAGAAAAATAAAGCCGTGTAACTTTTGGACAATCCCCTACTCCTCTTACAAGATTTTGTCCGCATAGTTGTGTAATTTCACTATACCTTTTGTTCATTTAATTAAGGTGTGGGACAAAGGCGGGAATATTTGCATAAGTAAATGAGTTATCAAAAGAATTCAAAATGGCATCTTTCATCGGGCCGTACGCTAAAAATTATCATGGTGGTTTTCCTTACTTTCCTTCTATCCTTAATGGATGCACCTCTGCAGACAAAGAAGAGTACTCAAGTGGGAAAAAAAAGGGCTTCAAAGTCTCAAAATTGACGATGAAAACACTCCCAACCAATCGATATGATATTATCTTAGAATTATTAGAAGTCCACCTACCTAGTATTCATCTGCAGATTATTCTTCATGGACGAGACTACGAGATTACTTATCCCTGTTATTAGGTTGCTGAAATCCTCTGTCACTAACCCATAGGTCTGAGCTAACTGCGCGCTTTTACATACAAATAGACAATCTGCGATTTCGGATCCAGGTTACCAAGTATTCTTGTAAGCTTTCCGACCGTATCCCTTTTCACCTCTTCGCGTTCATAGTTCTCAACCAAATCCCATTTGTTGCAGACAAACAGCGTACAGGCAGCTGATAGTGACAAATCCAAGTTGGCACTTTTCCTCAGATTTTGAGCGCTCGTGAGTAGCTTTCCTAACTTAAAAGACAAAAGAAAAATCAAGTAAGACCTAAGAAAACTGACAAACTTCTATTCAACTTTTAGTTAGTTACTTCTTACACCTATACGTGGAAAATAAGGTCTGACGAGAAATGTTTCAGCTATCCTGTGCTCGCAAATATAGAGCCAATTGCTGATGGGATATTTCGGAAAATACCTTTGTTTACGCTATATAAACAATAGCCTCTATGTGGTGCAAAAATATGCACGGATATTTGTCCGCGGACATTATTTGTTCCAAGATGCGAACAGTTTTCCGAGAGCGAAGCTCGAGGAAAATTGTGAGCTTCGAGGAACAGATTATGTCCAAGTACAAACATAAGTAAATGATTTAGCGCATAAGAGAGGCTATTGTGGTTATAATCCTTCAAATATTTTGCATAAAAGGGTTATTCCCATGTACATGTATGCTGATCCTTCCCCTTCCTCCCATAATTTTTGTGAAGAAGAATGTGTATTTGCAAGGCATTAAAAACCAATCAGCAAATTGTGTTACCAGTTTTGATGATACGGTGAGAGCACAGTTTACCCTTTAGCCATTTGCTTTGCATCATGTAGGTTCGCTCTTATTATTTTAAAAGCTTGTGCTTGCTACCTTCAAAAGTTCATGCACGATTTCAAGAGCAGAGGATTTTGCTCGTTCGGCCCGTGTTTTGCAAGCTGTTTTAAGAAAATGTGGAATTCGAAAATGAAGAAACTTAAAGACAGTTTTAAATAATGGACAACAACTCGAGATCTTCCTTTATGTTTGGCGAATTACTTGCTCTGAATACTGTGTATCGTATATCGGCCGGGCGTAACGGTGAGCTAAAAAGCTTTAAAGCTTAGGACTTACTTCTTGTACAAATCGAAAGCAACTTTAATTTTAAGAAGCGTGCTATAAAATTGGCACGGTCACCGTGTTATATCGTGCAAAGTTACGAGCTAGATGTTAACACGTTCCCTTCTACCGTGCGAGGCAAGACAATGCCTGCGAAGTTAATGAGGAAAGTAACTTACACGCAGCTAATGTGTTAAAAGCTCGTTCTTTTCTTTAGCGTGCTAGTGTACATCTCTTTTTCATTTTAAAACATTGCTCGAAGCTGAAACTGAGATTTAGCACAACCTATATTTTTAAGGAATCACTGAAAGCAATGATGAAAACAGTACTTCATTCTTAGGTGTCATTCTCCTGTGGATGTGAAGCCCACTTTTAATGAACCTTCTCTAAACTAATTATTAATGATAATAAGACCGAGTGGAGTCCAATTTCGATCTGTAATCATATGAATTTATAAAAAACGAGTATGATTACGGACAGAATTGGACGACACGAAGACTTGTTAACAATTAATCAAAACTATGACAGAATTTGAGGAAGAAACTAGACGTCGGTTATTTGCTTTCATAAAAAAAGCAACAGTTAACCCAGCGCCCTATTCTGTCCAGTTACACTGGCATGACGTGTTAACTGTCCCTTTAACTGTCCTATTACAATGTCCAATTACAAGCATGACGCGTACACTGTCCTATTAATGCTCAAATCGGGCTGATGATAACCAATCACGTTCGAGAATTTTGTTAGAGTTCTGACTAGGTTTGTAATACCCAGTAATCCTTGTCCTTACCCTGTCGGGCTGAATTCCTCCAGCATTCGACGCACAGAGAACGTACATGAAACAAAAGGCCCGCGGCAGGTAGTTGAGAACAAAACTACTCATGACATCGCTTTCTCCTACACCAGGGCTGTCAACGATCATTACATTCTCCTGAAATTGAAACATGAATCCGTAATGAGATTCGCTGTCCTATTACTTTTTACAAGTTCCGTGAGTTATTTTTGTAGATGATTTCATTGAAATATTAATTACCATGACCATCGTTTCTCAAAAGCTCTTTTTTTCAACCATTCGTCATGGTAAGCCATTAACTTACCAAGGTTCTCGTACCTTTATCTTAATGCATTGAAACCAAAGAAACCATGGAGTTTGGAACAAGCATTTACCAGTCCTTTTCACTAAAATTATCTTCGCCTCACACGCCGCGAAAGTTTTTTTAGAAATCAGCAGTTTCAATCTTCATTATCTAACTTCATAGTTTATTCCATAGAGCTACGTGCAGAGGTTTACTTTTGATCCTGAATTTTTTTATACCGAAATTTGGTCATAACTTTTTCGCTTCATCTATCAACTTCGTTAGTACCTTAAACAAAGGGTGCGGAAAGAACAGTTCAATTTTCTCGTAAGGTGTTTTCTCTCGATCTTCTTTGACGTACACAAACTTCTCTATTTGTTCTTTGTAGGTTTTACTTCCATCATTCAATTCTTGAAAAGCTGGTTCAGGAGTTTTTGTTCCATTAGGCTTGTAGTGTACACCAACCATCGGCTTTTCTCCGTATTTCAGCTCGCAAATTGTGGACGTGGTGCTTAATGTTGTAGAGGGAAGAAGGTCTTCTCCCAAGATGAGATTAATGACACTGCTTTTTCCAGCGCTAGTCTCACCTAATCAAGAGAGGAATCATAAAATAGAAGTCAATGACCAGGCATAATGTAGGCCTGGAACGCGTCAAAGCAAGATCAAAAAACATTACTTACGAACAAGATTTAAGTCACCTTGAACTGGCTCATCAAATTAGTGGCTAAGTGCGAGAGCATGATAACAAACAAAACAAAAGCCAGACTACCCTAGAAATTTGTGGATATTGCCCTCTCTTGCAGAGAAACATAAAATAATTTAGAATAAACAATTATATAATATTCTCTTTTAACGATCAAAGAAATGCAAAGGAGAGTGAATTAAGATGCTGGTGGCCTCCACAACGATTGTGACTGAATCCCAAGTCTAAGTTAATAAAGTAGTTATAATCATGATAAGACTGATGTCTCTTTAACTGATGACAGCAAAACAAACCTGCAACAAGAACAACATACTGATCACTTGGTTCAACATTCTTCTTTCTCTCTTGCAAAGATTTGTTCAGGTCTTCGAAGCTTTTCTGAAGTATTTCCAAAAAATCCTCCTCAAACTGATCCATGAACTGCTCAGTTCTTTTGTAAAGATCGAGTAACTTTCTGCGTTTGTCAGCGTCCGATTTACCAGCATCGGAGATAACTTCATGTGTCTGCAAGTAAAAAGATCTCAATCAAAATTGTTGAAGGTAGTTAGCACTAAATAAATATGATCCAAGTGAATATAGATAACGTTGCTAAACTGTTTTTCCCATAGGAAGCCGCCTGAGTTCACGACTAATAACACTGCTAATTTTGAACACCTCGAGAGCTTCAATATTGTAAATCAGCGCTAAATGCGGCATGTTTGATGAGGTTTTTTTCTTTTTTTATAGAGAAACCCATTGCAAATACTTAGCTGTTGTTTAATGCTTTAAACAGAAGTCACTCTTTTTGTGCTTTGGATTAGCCGAGCTACCTCTCTGCGAGTAAGCACCAGTCCCCCTTGACCCCCAAGCAGTTCTTCTAAATATTCCATGGAACACGTAAATATTACTCCGACCACGTTCTCAATCCACAATGATAAGTTTGAAAAAAATTCTTATTTATGGACAAAACTCTTATGAGGAGAGGGGATGCCCTTTTCGATCAGGTAATTTTGCAGTTGTATGAATATTCTTTCCGAGGATACGAAGACCTCAGAGCTTTAAAAAAGGACTGAAATCGTCACTGTTGCTACGAGCCAATAGGTCTTAACTGTTGAATAAAAATGAAAATAAAGCTATCGATCTACAGTCTGGGAGAGCCAAACGAAACAAGCACTGGGTATAGCGGTACATCGATACATTCCTGCGTTACCGTATTCTTGATCACGTATTTCATGGTAATGTTTTGTGAATTTATCTCGCTATCTAACAGTTCACAAAGACTTAAAGGAGTACAAGGCTAAATAGAATTTCGAAAAATGATACTTAAGCATAGGTGCTTTGATGTTCGGGTGGATGATGCCCCCCCAGTCGTTCAATAAGCAGCCATTTTGGTATTTACGGGTTGACTGCACATATTTATTGGTCAATGATCGTAATGATTCCATGCAGAATCTACGATTGTCCGTTTAGACTTCCGTGAGTTGTGTTCAGTGTTGATATTTCGTTTGAATTTTACATCATTATGATCTTAAACCGTTCTTAATATTACGCACGAATAAAAATGGATAAATTTGCTTTAAAGCAGCATAACAAGCGAAACATTGTTTACTCCAACAGCCTAGATTTACATATAGTCGGATAATTTACCATATTCTGCACAAATATCTGTGATGTCTGAACTAAAAAAGTGTCACTGTGATCACATACCTCTCCAATCTTTCGCGACGAAGTCCCTTCCAACCCTTTTAAATGTTCACGAAGTTTTTTCTTCATCTCATCGAGTGAATTCATGCCTTTCGTTGAAAGACCGAAAGATTGAATTAATTCGCAAGCTTTTGCTGGATCGTCTATGGTATCCACTTTCTCCAGCCCAGTAGACATCATGCGTTTTTGACAAAATTCTCGAGAAGTCACGTCAACGGTAGTGTATCTTTTCAAATGGCGTTAGCTAAGACCCAATGCAAGTTACTTCTTTTAAAACCACTCGTAATGTTGCATTCCTCAAATCCTAGTTATCCATTTACCAGCCCATAGAGGTGCTCAGCGGGTGATTCAAAGTCGCTATGCCACTAACAAATCCTTTTCATGGCCACAAAACCGTACACGATCACTTGATCTGTTAACAGACCAAAATACTCTTCTCAGACAGTTGGCACTCTGAAATTCAACGGTGAATCCATCGTGAGAATTCCATTAAACGCTTAAAAAGTGCCTGTACGATGCATTTATGAAATAAGTACAGCAGACAGCAATTTAGTTTGCAAATAGCATAATACGCATACCGCGTCACGGTCGTTCAAAAGAATCAATTGTTAGCATAAATCATCAGGCTGGAGCCTTCATGTAAGCGTCATTTTCACATATTAAACAGTTAACTCGACTAAACTGTATCTCACATTATTTTACTCTTGAAGGTAATGGAAAAGGTTTAAATGCAAAGATCAATGCTCCTTGCATAAATAAGTACAAAATAAGAGATTTCATATGTGGCTAATTCTGAGAAAAATGTGATGGTTTTTCTGGGAATAAAGGAAGTCCCTGTCATTACACATTTGTGGTTTCTTAGCTAGTAGTTATTTTCCATTATGTATCAGTATTTCAAAACGCTGGTAAATTGATTGGCACGATGTGACAACACTTCAATCCGTAATGCAAGAGCGAAAATGAGATAATTCTTACGTTCAAGACGAACAAAGATTGTTTGTATGTCACGGTTGAAAGACATGTCTGTCATCACCACGAGCTGCCAGTCAATGAAATGATAAAATCTGCGACACTAATGGCAACCAGAAGCGATTTCCTAGAAAACAAAATCATCGTAAATTGTTCTCCCTCCGAGTTTGCTTTTCCGTCCATGTTTAGAAGAGAATTCTAAAAACTTTAGAACGTGTGCGGTTTTCAACAAGGGATTCATGGTTGACTCGCTCCAAATAGCTTTGGAATGTTTGATTTCTGTAAATAGAGAAAGAATATCTGTTTTTGTCGAGGTATAGTTCTGTTAGAGGCCAATGCAGCAACACGATTAGACTTTGATTATACTTAAAATCAACCGGGGATTGTTAGCTTAGAAGAGCAAAGCGGTTAATAACCCTGGTACTTTCGCCTAAAATTTCTATTTTATCAGTTTCTAGAGCGACCCGCTGCTTCATAGGTCACTTTGCATTAAACGTAAACATGACATGAAAACTTGGTTACCGTAAGTCAACACATGATAATTCTAGGAAAGTAGGTCTTGCTTAACAATCCCAAAAGTTGAAAATCCATTCTCTACGGGGCGCCGTGTATTCAATTTTCCACAGCTTCTTTTGGAAGAAAAAAATGGAAGCCATCAGGCAAAGATTGAATGAGGCAGATGACATCGCCGAGGTTATCGATTTAATGCAAAATTTGAGCATTCCAATTAAAGGATGCAAAAACATCAAAGACATGAAGGAAAGGATGCTCACCCATCTGAGCCCTCGAAATGAGGAAAGACTGTAAGGGAGGTTATTCAATTTAACAAACTTTTACCTGGCAGCAAGCATCCTTTAATGCTATTCCTTTCAGCTGTGCCTTTCGAAAGCGAGTCGATGAATGTTTACACTAAACTTGTCATCACATCGCTGTAGCTTATCGACGTGGCATCGTAAAACGAATGGCTCAGAATCTATAAGGCTTTCATATATCATGTATATTTACTTTCTAAGACGTCTTGCAGTAACACATTTTTACTTTTCTTACGCGATTAAAACTACTGCAAAGACTTCAAAGAAACAAGGAAACGCAACTTGATCCTTAAATCCAGCTCTATAATTTCATGTCTGTTCGGGTACTGATCAGTGCATCAGTCGACCCAACATAAGAAGAAGAACAGCTGCAGATCGCTCACTTGTAAATTTGTACAATATATGTTAATTCTGAGCTTTATGAAGTTATTGTCTCAAACTGGCTCTGAACTTTTTACTCAGAAACAGCTAAAGACCATTATCCTCTTTGTTGTTTTTATTTAATGTCATGGTTCAATGGTTCGGCCGCTTGCCATTTCCTGACCTTGCCGCCAAAGTAGTCGGGCTTCTGCCTTTAAGAACTTGCTTGTAGCTTTTAAACTCACTGTCACGAGTAATCCAGCGGTTGCAGTCTCTCTCGGTCAGTTTCGGTCGAAAGCAGTAACAATCAAACGAAAACTATCAAGCTCACCATACAAAAAATATGATTAACTCTGGTAACATCATAACGGTATCATGAGGCAAAAGACCTCATAGTCATTTGGCTGACAGCTCACCGAATGAAGTTGAAATTAGTTAGGCTCAGCTCTATATTTTGTTCCAATCAGTGAAATCACAACAGCAGGTAGACAATCAGGCTTCGAACACAAAATGAAGTAATTACCTCAGTCCTTTCAACCTCAAAATTTATTTATAATTCATCTGACTCACGGTGTCTGTCATTTGTTTCTTGCAAGGTTAGTTGAGAATTAAACTAACAATACTGAAACCCTATTTGACTTTTTTCTTTCTTTCTTTCTTTCTCCTTTCTGCTTGAAAACGATATTACCGATGCATCCAGAAAAAGAAAATAGGTGGCTTTGATGAAATGTCATGTAATTAGGCGAAACTAAGCTGTATGTGGCAGTGACAGAAAATGAAAATAATTTCTTCCTGGCACAGACAAATTCTTTTGTTGTAGTGTATGTGAAGTCTGACAGTGATCATTTATGCATCTCAGCCACTAAACAACAGGTGAGTTCTAGCTTAATGGACGTTCAAGCATCTCGTTAAAGTTTTTATACTCTAAATTATGCATGCATAGTTAGTATATTTGGTGAACTGTACTCAATCTTTAACCGAAGGTCGGCGCGGCTGCATTTGGTCAGGAAATACTTTCTTATTTTCCCTGTGGCTTTTCTGGGTTTTCATAACAGGCGGGTGCTCGTTTGCCTTTTCTAAGTGTTGTAAACTATGCTTCGATCGCCCTTGTTATATACAGCTACTTACTTGAGCTTGTATTTCTGCGCCGACACGGAAGGCAGTAAACGCTCAGTTCGAGCTGCAAACCCATACATTTGTCGCTTATCAGTTGTGAATTGGAATATGGAACGTAACTGATATCCTGCCAACTTAAACTTGGCGCTGCATTTTTAACAAGCAAAAAAACAACTTTCCTGAATTGAGTGCAAATTGCCCAGCGGAGATATTAGCTCTTTTCTCTTTTTGCCTAAATGTAACAATAAGTCTAAATATACTAATATGCTTCTTTAATCCATTCAATATTACGCATTTTTAAAGGCCTTTGAGGTGATTTCAGAGGCACAATGGACATGAAAAAGTGACTAGCCCTTCCTGATTATTACGCTGAGGTGGAGAGGGAAATACAGGGTCTTGACGCTACCTTCCTTGATTTCTGAAAACAAGCGAGGACGACTTCCTTTCTAAAATCAAGACAAGAGTAAAAGAATGCGAGACAGATATTGGCTTATTCTTGTAGCAGGTAAATATCTTCAATATAATACCTCACACAAACCACTGAGGTGCTTTGATCAGTCATGATCATGCTAAGCACAAAGAAAGCCGATCTAACAGTCACAGAGAGGAGTATCAAAAATCTACCTAGTTAGGACGTTACTCAATTAATTAATTAATAACCGTCAATTAGGGTCTATCGAATTCTTAAGAGAGTTTACCTTATCTAGCGAATGCCAGGCTAGGGTTTATCGAATTCTTAAGCCGCTGCTTTTGCTCGCTGCTTTTGCCCGCACTGGTCTCACCTCACCAAGAATGAGGTTCAACCTTGGTTGGACCTAAATTTTTTGCCATTTTCGGTTCTGAGTACAACATTTACAATTTGTGAATTGAAATATGGAAGACAGAAAAGGATAAAGATACACTATAAAGAAAAAGGAAAAACTCCAAGGATGAAGTATCTCACCGAATCCTTGCCTTACATAGGTCAAATATCAGAATTTGTTCACGTCAAGTCTGCAAATTTAAGAGAAAAGGCATCAGACTACAAAAAAGTGGAATTGTTTTGGCCTAACAGGTTATTATAGGTTAGAGACTCCCAAAATCATGTTTCAAGAGCTTCCTTTTATAAATATGATGTAAACTGGTAACTAAATTTCAGGACCCTATTTCAGGTTTTAACGCCGAACGGTCAAAAGAAGCACAGGGAGAAAAGAACCTGATTACTCTGTTTCCACAATAGGACGGGTTCGTAGCAAAGGTAGCGGTGTGGCTTCAACTACCTTCTTTTTTTTATGCTTACGGTGTACGTCGCACTTTTATAGGCTATGATAAGTGAAGAAAGCTAAGGCGTTGCAAAAAGGAACGTCTACAATAAGAACTATTTCCTGGGCAGCAAAGATTCCAAGTTATGATACAATTCCAGGAAATCTCGATTTCTACCGATGCCTTCATTTTAGATCACGTAATTGACTACATAGTAACTAAATATAAATAAAAGAAGAATTTGTAGAAATCAGTATTAGGGGCGTTTCAAAACTAACATCACTGAATGGTCCAAACTTTACTTTGTTTACGTTTCTGAGGCTTAACTTTTTCAGCAATGAACTTTAAAATGAAACCTATTTTTGTAGATTGTCACACAGGACATGGGTGGTTTTTTTTCCGTTTTCTTTGGAAACTCAAAGTCTTTTTGTCTGTTTTTCCCACTTGGATAAATACTTCAGCTGTATTCTATTGGTTAGCACACCCTTGACCGCAGTCAAGTGATTATTCTTATATCATTTTAGGTAATTAATTTATCGTATCCTAATAAAGCAGTTGTGTAGAGCACATGGTCTGATTCACGCATTACTCTATGCTAGTACATCGAACCTTAGTGTACAACACATTTCCTGAGTGTTTTCCCTTAACAATTTCTAGTCACAGAGACCACGTGTAGCCCACAAACTGACTTGCACCAGGGAATAACACTTTAAATCATACGAAAACGTAAAATGTAAAGACCCCTGCCCCGAGAAAAGCAAACCATAGCATAACTAACCAAACCTTTCTCTCACCACACATGAGTTTGAGACACAGGGCTCTTAGCAACCCCCCCTTCCCCCTTTAAATGGACTAGTCCTCTAGAGAAAAACTAGAGGGTAGGTGTTTGCAATGTAAATTGAACAAGCTCCCCCGAACCCGATGCTTTCAGATCCAAGAGTCTGTCAACGAGAGGACCGGGTAGGCGTGACACAAGCCATCTCACCGATTTCGGGTCCCCGTTTTCTTTCAAACTTTCACTGTTTACGAGGTCACTAATTTATTCAAGAATCCACATCAAATCACTGGGGTAAAAGGCGTAAATTGGCTCGACAAATGCGCTTGCAACTAATCACTCTCACAGCAACAGAATGCCGAGGATTTTACTCTTATTTTATCCAATGGTTATTTCAACCTTAAGGAAACAATTTCTCAGGAGTCGGGGTAATTTATTATAGCTTCTTCCAATTAAATGCAGTTAATCATTAACTGTGTGACGTAACTATTCTAAAAAAGAAAATTTACCCAAATGAAGTGATTCTCTTTAAAGGAGACTGAAGCCAAAAATTGAGTTAATTTTTTGACAGCCAAAGAGACGAATTCTTGATTTCAGCCGGTTTTTGTTCTAAATGTTTCTTCCCTCAGAGAGATAATTCTTGAAAGTTTGTTTTTTTGCACTGTTTCGGCTTTCAAACCATGGGCATCAATTTTAAATCAGATGTCTTCGGAAAAAGCTTGTGAAGTATCTTATGGGGAGCACTTGAGACCGTGTTCTCGTATCGTTTGGCCAAATTGTATCACAAATTGTCTCTTCGTCGCCCCTTTGTCATGAGTGGAATAGAGCCGTTTCAGTTCTTGACAATTCGAACTGACATATCAACCTAGCGGAGAACCTTCTCAGGAAGAGAACGAATTACATATAGTCGGATAATTACCATATTCCGCACAAAATCTGCTTTGCCTGAACTGAAAAAGTGTTACTGTGACTACATACCCCCCAATACTTGCCGAAGAAGTCCCTCCCAACCGTTTTAAACGTTCACGAAGTTTGTTCTTCATTTACTGAATTTAAGCCTTTCATTGAAGGACCGAAATATTTAATTAATTCGCAAGCTTAAGTTATATCGCCCATGGTATCCACTTTCTCCAGCTCCGTAGACATCATGCACTTTTCACAAAATTCTCGTGAAGTCACGTTAACAGTAAGTGGTTTATTTTTTTTTCAAATGTTTTTTTTTCAAATGGCGTCAGATAATACCCAATGTAAGGTTACTTCTCTCAAAACCACTCGTGGTGTTGCATTCTTCAAACCCTAGTTATCCATTTACCAGCCTATGGAGGTGCTTGAGGGGTTTTTCAAAGTCGTTGTACTCCTGAAAAATCATTTTCCTAGCCACAAAACTCTTAAGATAAAAAACACAACTAGATTTTCTCCTGTACACGAGCACTTGATCTGTTAATAGGTTTTTAATACTCAGCCCAGACGGTTGGTACTTTGAAATTATCGATCGAGGGTAACTTCAACGGCGAATCCCTCTCAAGCTTTTTCAAAATGTTTAAAAAGTTCCTTTAGGATCCATTTATGGGATAATTACAACAGGGATCAATTCACTCTGCAAAGAGCATCATACGCATACCTCGTCACGCTCGTTCAAATAAATTGTTAGCGTAAATCATCAGGCTTCAGCCGTCTTATTAGCGTGATTTGCACATGTTGAGTAGTTAACTCGACTAAACTGTATCTCACATTGTTTTAGTTTGGGTTTTCATGGAAAATTTTTTAATGCAAAGATAATCAATTGCTCCTTGCATTGTATGTGTTACTAATTCTGAGAAAACTGTGATTTTTCTGAGAACAAGTTCCTGTCATTACACAGTTGTCAGAGGCACAGCAAGGAAGAAAGGATATGCAAGTCTCTTTTTGATCGCTGTCATTTGTGGTTTCTTTGCAAATAGTTGTATTCCAATATGTATCAGTATTTAAAAACGCTGGTAAATTGATTGGCGCGATGTGACTCCACTTCATCTGTAATGCAAGAGCGAAAATCAGATCATTGACTGCTTGCATGTCACGGTTGAACCAGATGTCTGTCATCGCCACGAGCTGCTAGCCAATGAAATGATAAAGTCTGCTACACTAATAGCAATCAGAGACGATTTCCTAGAAACTAATATCATCGTAAAAATCATGGTTATCTCTCTTCGTTTTTCCGTCCATGTTTATGAAAGAATTCCAACAACTTTTGGTCGTATGCGGTTTACAACAAGGGATTCACGGTTGACTCACCCTTAATAACTTTAAAATGTTTGATTTCTGTAAATAGAGAAAGAACACATGTTTATGTCAAGGTTTTAGTTCTTTTAGAGGCTGATTAGACTTTTATTATACTTAAAATCAGCCGGGGATTGGTAACTTAGAAGAGCAAAGCCGTAACGATAGTATTTTCGCCCCAAATATCTATGTTATCAGGTTCTAGAGCGACCTTGCTGCTTCAAAGGGCGTTTTGCATTAAACGTATACATGACGTAAAACTTTGTTTACCGTAAGTCGTCACATGATGATTCTAGGAATGTAGGCTTTGCAAAATAATCCCAAAAATTGAAAATTCCTTCGCTACTGGGCGCCGTGTATTCAATTTTCCACAGTTTCTTTAGGAATAAAAAAATGGAAGCCATCGAACAAAAATTGGATGAGGCAGAGGACATCGCCGAGGTTATCGACTTAATGCAAAATTTGAGCATTCAAACCAAAGGATGCAAAAACATCAAAGACATGAAGGAGAGGATTCTCGCTCATCTAAGCTCTCGAAAAGATAACCGCTTGGCCTGCAATGAGGTAGGATTGCCAGGAAAATAATTCAGTGTTTTGATAAATGAGCGTGGATTCACTGGGTTTAAGGGTTTTTTGTAATGGTTCAATTTAGACATTTCCGGCATAATTTTATAGCTAAAGCGTCGTTGTTAGCCCATTGCAGTTGATGTGAAATGCATGGGTAAGCTAGCAGTCATATCCATTGTCTATCCGCTTTTCATTTACTCCTTATCTTACCGTTGCATTAGGTTCTTTTGCACAGCCTGGTGGCTTATGATGAACTTGGGAAACATTACTGCTTTAACAAACTTGTACTTGACAGCAAGTATCCTTTAATGCTGTTCCTTTGATCTGTGCATTTCGAAGCGAGTCGATGAATGTTCCGAACTTATTATCAACACATCGCGGTAGCTCATCGACGTGGCATCGTAAAACGAATGGCTCAGAATCTATAAGGCTCCAATATATCATGTATAGTTACTTTCTAAAACGTCTTGCAGTAACACATTTTTACTTTTCTTACGCGATTAACGCTACTGCAAAGATTTCAAAGAAACACAGAAACGCAACTTGATCCTTAAATTAAGTTCTATAATTTAATGACTGTTCGGTTACCGATCAGTGCATCAAACGACCCATAATAATACAGCAAAACGGCCGCGGATCGCTCGCTCGTAAATTTGTACGATATATGTTAATTCTGAGCTTTATCAAGTTATTGTCTCATACTGGCTTCGAACTTTTTACTCAGAAACACCAAAATACCATTATTCTATTTGTTGTTTTTATTTCGTGTCATGGCTCAATGATTCGGCCGCTTGACATTGCTGCCATAGCCTTACTACCAAAGTATTCGGACTTCTGCCTTTAAGAACTTGCTTGAAGCTTTTAAACTCTCTATCACGAATAATCGAGAGCGTTTGTACTCTTTCTTTATCAGTAGTCGGTCGAAAAAAGTACCAATTACAGCGAAGCTATCACGCTAGCCACACGAGTAATTGTGGCAATATCAATATCATTTGGCTGACAGCTCACCGAATGAAATGGAAATTAGCTAGATTTGGGGCACAGCTATATATTTCTGATCTTTTTTCTTTCTGTTCTGATCAGTGAATTCACAACAGTAAGCAGACAGTCAACCTCAAAATTCAATTGTAATTCATCTGACAGTTTCTGCTATTCTTGCAAGGTTACTTGAGAATTAGACTAACAATAAACCCTATTTGACATTTTTCTTTGTTCCTATCTCCTTTCTCCTTGAAAGCGATTTTAACGATACATCCAGAAAAAGAAAATTGGTGGCCTTGATGAAATGTGTTGACATTCGACGGAACTAAGCTGTAGGTAGCATATAGAGGAAATATAATGAAAATATTTTCCTCCGGGCACGAACATACTCTTTTGTTATAGTGTATGTGAGGTGTGACGGTAATAATTTACGCATCTCAGCTCTCGAACTTTCAGTTTTAATTGAAACAGGTGAGTTCTTGATACATGGACGTTCAAGCATCTCGTTAAAGTTTTTATACTCTAAATTATGCGTGCATAGTTAGTATATGTAGTGATCTGTATTTAATCTTTACCTTCCTATTTTCATTGTGGGTTTTTGGGGTTTTCGTAATAGGCGGGTGCTCGTTTGCCTTGTCCAAGTGTTGTAAACTATGCTTCGATTCCCCTTGTTAAATACAGCTACTTACTTGAGCTTGTATTTCTGTACTCACACGGACGGCAGTAAATACTCGGTTCGAGCTGCACACCCATATATTTGTCGATTTTAAGTTGCGATAAGCGGTAATATTAGCTTTCTTCTCTTCTAGCCTAGATGTAACAATTAAATATATTTGCTTCTTTAACTCATTCGATGCTTACGTGTGTTTCAGGCCTTTAAGGTGATTTCAGAGGCGCAATCAATGGACAAGAAAAAGTCATTAATCCTTCTTAAACATTACGCTGATGTGGAGAGGGAAATACAGGGTCTTGACGCTACCTTCCTCGATTTGCTGAAAACAAGCGAGGGAGACGTCCTTTCTAAAATCAAGACAAGAATAAAAAGAATGGAAGACAGAGATTATGTTGTTCTTGTAGCAGGTGAATATCTTGAATATAATGCGTAACCCAAACCACCGAGGTGCTTTGATCATGATCATGCAGAAAAACAACGGGTGAAAAAGTGACAGAAAGGAGTATCAAAAATCTACTTGGCCAGGACGTTTCTAAGTTTATTTTTAATAATTTGTTTTAACAAAACTGTCAATTAGGTTTTATCGAATTCTTAAGCCAGAGAGTCTTAAGCCAGAGTGGCGACTTGTGAGGCTCTGACCTTTAAAACCGGAAAGATTACGTCGAATAACTTGAACTCGAGTATGTGGGCGGAACACTTTATGACAATTGTACTTTACTTACGGTAAAATTTCAAACCAATATAGACTGTTGAAGGAAGAACTTGAGATTTAAGATTTGAGTAATGACCATTTTGCATTTTACTTACGCTTAGGGGAGACCAGTGCAGGAAAAAGCAGCATGTTGAATCTAATTCTTGGTGAAGAGCTTTTACCATTTTCAGTTCTTAGTACAACATCTACAATATGTGAATTGAAATATGGGAGAGAGAAAAGGATAAAGATACACTATAAGAAAGAAGGAAAGGCTCCGGAGATAAAGTATCTTACAGAATCCTCGCCTTACATAGATCAAATATCAGAATTTGTTCATGTCAAGTCTGCAAGTTTGAGAGAAAAGGCATCAAGTTACAAAAAGGTGGAATTGTTTTGGCCTCACAGATTATTACAGGTTAGAGACTCCGACGATCGTGCTTCAAACCATACTTTTATAAATATGATGCAAGGTGACACCTAAATTTCAGGAACTTTTTTGGAGCTTTAACGCCAAATGGTGAGAAGAATTACATGGAGAAAATAAACTTACTTACTCTGTTTCCACATTAGGACGGTGTTGTAATCGTTGACAGCCCTGGCGTCGGGGAGTCTGACATTATGGACGAAATTGTTGTTAACTACTTGCCAAATGCCTTTGCTTTCATCTATGTCATCAACAGTAGCAATGCCGGAGGAGTTCAAAGAGATCGGGTGAGTAATTATTGATACTTTCTGTATTGACTACCGCCAATCCTTTCAACTCCTCACCAGTGCTCGATCTATTTTTTAAACCACGATTTTTGTAGATAGCTCAAAGAGCTCAAAAAGCTATCTCATCAAAGCCCTATGTGTTGATTGAATCAATCTATACAGCTTGTTTCCTCATTTGTTAGCTTGTTCGACTTCTGCACAAAACGAGGGAACTCACAAATGAACAGCAAATGGAATTCTCACCAAACTGCACTTTGTTCGTTTGCAATAAGTGGGACACAATACCAACCTCAGAGGGAGATGTGGTCATAGCGCACATAATCAACAAGTTGAGTCAGTGTTTGCCAGATGTCGACACAAATACTCAAATTATCCGCATTTCAACTACTAAAGCTCTTGTGGCCCAGAAGTATGGAGTCATGAATTCAGAATTTGCCTCACTTACAGACAAGATTGGCTGTTTGGTTTCGAAAAGCATCGAAACAAGACTTGAACAACATTGGAGGTAGTTTAGATCATTTCTAAATGTACGTTTGTCATGAAGCTATTATTTATTAGGCAAAAACCATCTCGTTCTGTCATGGCCTGTCATCAAGATTTCTTTCGTCTCAAAAAAAATCACTGCTATAAACGAAAGTAATTGTACAAGTCTACACTTCTTCCTGATTGCTTAAACACTCCTCTCAACGGGCCTGCTATGTTACTTGTGGCAGTTCAAGCCAAAGAAGTTTAAGGCGAAAGAAGTCACATCCGAGGGGCAGTAACTGAGGGATAGATAGAGACCTACCCCTCTGAATTTCCATACAACAAAAATTTGAAAATGATAGAATCTTGCAACATTCCTTTCATGACGTTATGCCTCTCTACTAGAGCAGCTACTCTCCACCCATCTCTTGCAAATATATGAGAAATAGATGCATGGACGGCTACCTTAAAAAACAGGAGCCTTTCCAAATTTTTCTCAGAGAAATTGGGAAAAAATGTGTACCTGTGGTATAGAATTAAAAAACATCCATCTTCCTCGTATGTTCAACTGGTAACTATATTTGATTCTTTCTTAATTTGTACAGCTGGCTAGATCTTTTGCTGTCTCGAATAATCTGGCTGATGAGTACATTAATAACAAATATCTCCACTGACCATGTGGCTGCAAAAGATAGATTAAATGCTGTGATAGAGAGGCTGAAGAAACTTCAAGCGGAACAGGAGTCATCGAAGGAGGCAATGACGCAATTTCTTGAAGAGAGCACTTGTGAGGCCATCAACACCTTAATCGAATACCTTCAGAAATCCGAAGTGAAAGAGAGATTTTGCAAGTGGAACTCTGACGAGCTTCCAGCTGTCGAGAAGTCATGGGAAGTTACTGAGGCTGCCCTTGTTAACCTTCTTCAAAGAAGATTACAGATATTTATTGAAGAATGGGAGGAAGAGGAGCAAATGTTTGCAAAGGCACGGAAATCAGTCATCCAAGAGTTCCTCGAAAAATACAATTATCTGGAGAGGGAGCTTCGCAACGTGGAAGTCAATGCTTCACAAATACAAGTACTTGTTGAAGAAGAAACGGCAGGCGAAAGTGTAGAGGATCACGTTTTCAACAGCAAGTACAACTTTTCGCTTCCATTTGAAAGTAAACTTTTTCTTGGAATAGCGATTCCTTTCATGGTTCCACCTCTTCTTGTTGGAGCTGCGTTTGCTGTTCCAGTAACACTGCTTCTTCTTCCAATGGTGGGAATTAAATCTATTGCCGACAGCATCAAAGAAAGAAAAAGGCAGAGTGCATACAATAAAGATCGCGCTGAGTACGTGCGAATCATGGCACAAAAGTTTTTAGGGAAGGCTGCAACCTTCGAGGCACTAAAGCCACTGGTCGAAGGGCAATTGGAGCTAGCTGTAAACACCCTGAATGACCTGCAAGCGAGAATCCCCATGCTTGTTGAGGCCGATGTAAAACTTTGTCAGCAACTTATGGAGGAGGCACATAGCAAGAAGGATTCTGAAGCTCGCTACAAGCCCTGTAGAGACAAATGCAGCCGTTTGCGCGGTGAGCTCGCGTTGTTTGGTTCTATGGAGATCTGGTGCATGCGGCTCTCCTGGGATGACCTTTCTTGGGATGTCAGCGAGGATGTCTACTTGAAGCGACCAATGGAACCTGGGCTCTACCAAGGGCGCATTTCCAAGGGCAGGTACTCATCAAGTAGCCAAGTAACCTTTAAAGTGTACAGAGACCTGCTAACCAGCAGCAATATCATTGAGTGCTTGGCAGACGAAGCTATCTTGAGGTACATCTTAATTAATAAACAAACAATTTTTAATCAAACACTCAACTAACAAAACAAACTTGTTTTTTTTAGGATTCAGAACACGCGTTATGCTAGTAACACTTCGGTATTCTCCCTAAAATACCCAAGTCAATTTAATAGATGTGTTGAGCTATTTTCCCTTAAACATGACACTTGTACGGGCATTCCTCGTTTAACGTACAGTTCTGTTCGATTTAGTCTAGAATTAATTTTTACCGGTGCAGTGCCCTACCAGCCAAGCTAACAAGCCAACTGAGAGCTGGTCATTGTGTTAATTCGTAATAAACCGCCACCGCTGAGGTCATGGGTCCAAATCCTGTACAGGCCTAAATGTTTTCAGGCCTTATTTTCACTACTCCTTGAGTAGTGTTCATTACTGCGAAGATCACTTTCATATTTATTTCCTGAACAGTAATTTACATGTATGATTTTCATATGTTCACAATTTTTCAGAAAATATTTTCCTACTTTCACTACTCATTTTGTTCTCACTCCTACCACGTCCAAAGTTGAAAGTTGTTCACATATTTCTTGTGTTTGTTGTTTTCTCCACAGGAGGCTTCGCCATCCTCACATTGTCAAGTTTTACGGTGCTGTTTTTAGAAAGGTTCCAAGGGGTTTAGAAGCAGCCTTTGTAACTGAGTGTCCAGGAGTTGATTTAAAGAAACATCTGATCGATCAACCCAGAAATTGTCCTGCGAAGAATCCCGTGGCAACGATGGATGTGATTCGCTGGGCAGACCAAGTCGTCGAAGCACTGATGTCGATTTACAGCATGTTTGACGGATGTGTTCACGGTGACCTTCGGTTAGAAAACGTTTTGGTAGGGAAATATTTCACTTTTTAATAAAAAGTTTTGTTTTACATTGGTTTCACACTCAAAGAAAAAAATAGTAAATTTAAAAACTATCAGAACTACCAAAGTCTATGACTCGCAGTAAAAATAAAGGGTTGGATTATTTCTCTCTCCCGTGTGCACGGACCTTTTCTCGTTCAAGGACTTCCGCGTCACTGTGTTCAAACTTAGTTTTATGGGCTGTCTTTAAGTACATTTTGATCTAGACTAAGCCAGGCCAAATAGCTTGCAATTAGACCCTCACACTTTTGAAAAGCTAAATCAATTATAACTGCGAAGTGATCATTTCATGTGCATCTACGCTACTATCATCTATTGCATAACTTGCTCTTATTGCAAAAAGTCATACATCGGTGAAACTGGAAGACGACTAGGTGATCGATTCCGAGAACACCTTCGCGACGTAGAAGGAAATGCAAGGCAAATCCAAACCAGTCGCTAGACTCTTGATCTCCCTAATCATTCTAAACAGCATATGGCGGTTTGCGGCCTTTCCTTACATCTAGGGAATTCGGGAAGCCGAAAAATTTTAGAACAAAAGTTGATCTCTCAAAACGGCGCCCTTAATCCCCACGGTATCAACGAGCACTTTTCATTCAACTTATGAAGTAAGCTATTAAACTGCCTACGATGGCCAATTTACGTTATGAACTCAGTTGCCATTACCAAACTACCCTGTTATACTCGCCCACCGATGCAGCGCCACAGTTCTGTAGAAACTTACCCCCTTTATTCAGTTATATAAATCTATCTCATAACATCGAAAAGAAGATGAAGATATAACTGCTTTGTTCATAAGTAAGTGTGTTTCAACCAAACTAGTGACCTTTGCCTAGTCATACTCAGTTTTGTTCTATTTCTTTAGGTGAGATCCAGTGTACTCTTTAAAAATGCTAGTCCAGCAAGACAAAACCACTATTTATTGAGTTTCTTTTTATCATCAATTCAAATCATTTTTTTTGGTATTATTTTACATAGCTTGACGGTCCCAATGTCCGTGATATTAAGTTGAGCAACATCTCCCTCAGGAGGCAGCTGACCATCGAGCATGGATCAAAGTGTGATGCATTTCTTCATCTTCCGCCAGAAGCTGTGCGAAATAGAAACTACAATGCCTCTTCAGAGATTTACTCCCTCGGGATCTTGTTCTGGGAAATATGGTACGGCAAAGAAGCTTTTGATGATTTAAAAGGTAAGAAGATGGAAGAATTTTTATCAGTTGTAGAAGGAGGCCATCGTCCCGATCTTGGAGGTCTCACAACTCCGACATCAAATCGGTGGGCTACTCTCATTTCTGGTTGCTGGGAAAAGACGGCCTCAGAAAGGAAAAGCCTCGCAGATTGTAAGTCAACTATTATGGGAATTTTAGCTAGTCAAAGATAGAGCCTATCCTGGAAAAAAAAACAAGATGCTTCAACTCGGTGTAAAAATAGACTTAAAATTCAAGAAAGCATTGAAAGCAACTCAGATTGGGCTGGTTAGCCTCAAACCCTGAAGTTAACTATAAACTGGGGAAGTTACAGTCCTATCCTTTGTATCGAATAATAGACATAATCTTTTAAACAAAAACAGTCTCTTAATTTTGGTTTGTGGCCTTCCTTTGTTCTACATTGAATTTTTTCCCTTTTTTGGTTTCCTTTGTGTTTTAAACCATTTTTAATTGCTTCTGTGATCGAGACTTTTTTTCGCACCATGTTGGGCAATTCCATAAAATTAGTAGTTACTTCATAGCTTTTCCCTAACTTGTCAGATCCATTAACCTTACCAATACCTACTTTTCAAGTTTCGGATGTCAGAGTGGAAACTGTGGTACAAAGAAGGTTTTTCCTTTCTGTAACGAAAGTTCGAAAGTTTCTTATGATGCAGTGGTGAGGTTATTCAATTAAACTTCAGGAGCTTTCGATCCTATACGTGGGATGCTAAGTAACTGTGTGTTTTATAACTTTTTCTTGTTGTCACCTTGTGGTGAAAGGGTGGCACATGCTCTTTGTTTTCCTAACGCATGCTAGTATCCGAGGAAACTCTATTGCAATCGCCATTGGGAAAGTTATAAAATCTTCGGAGGTAGTTTATCCTTCCCACCACATTAGGGCGAAGAATTTTTTTATCCCTATTTTCTGCTCTCAGTAATTACTTTAGTTCAATAAAATTTCCAATGAGTAAGTTTGAAAAATTTTGTTTTAAATTATCTAAAACGATCAGCTAGTGAGAATAAGCGACACCAATTGCAATTTGTATCTTTGTTTATCACACTTTGAAGTTCTCGCTTTTAGAGTAGTTGATTTATATTAATTCTTGAGCTATAAGGTGTAGACCACAAACATATTTCTTATGTAGTACGGAATAGTGATAAGAGATTCTGAAGGAGTCTGATGTCTAGAGACGCTTAGTTAATTCTGTTGAGTAAAATAGTGTACGAAAAGATACAACGCTGTATAAAAAAAGCAACAGATAGAATAAAAAAAATGTACCAGCCCAATGGTCCAAACTTTAAATTTTTTACGCTTCTGAGGTTTACCTTTTTCAGCGAGGAACCTTAAAATGAAACTCACTTTTGCAAATTGTCATGAAAGACAGGGCTGGTTTCTTTTGCGTTTACTCAAACCCTCTCTCCCCACTCATGAGCTTTAGACACTGGGCTCTTGACAACCCCAACCCTTCCCCCCAAATAGACTAGTACTCTAGGGAAAAACAAAAAGGTAGGTGTTTGAAATGTAAATTGAAGAAGGTTCCCCGAGCCTGATGCTTTTAACATTTAGGAGTCTGTCGACGAGAGCACCGGGCAGGCGTGACACATGTCATTTCACCGATTTCTTTCAAACTTTCATAGTTTATGAGGGTCACTAAGTTTTTCAAGAATCCAGACTGGTTCAGGTTCCCGACTCATCCCTGGGGTATTAGAGCCCCGACATCAAATCCCTGGGGTAAAATGCTAAATTAGTTCGAAAAATGCAATTCCAACGAACTTCTCTTACAATAACAGAATGCCATGGATTTTACTATTATTATGTGCAATGCTTGTTTGAACCTTAGGAAACAATTCCTTAAATTTGGGGTACTTTGATATAACCTCTGCCAATTAAGAGCTGCGAATCATGAACTGTGTCACGCAACTATTCCAGAAAAGAAAAAATTAGGATTATTTTATTGCAAATATCTCCGATGGGCAGCCTTGTATGTCAACAAAAATACCATGACAGGAAAGACCTATCTTAACACTACGTTTGTGTTCTAAATAACTTTTGGCCTCCATAAAAAGTTCGTGATCACGCCCCTCTGAATTACGTGACCTCGGACGTTAATTTATGCAATTGTTGGTCATAAACTGATGTTCATTCACTCAATTTCAATTTGAGAGCGGGATCGCCGACGCTGGTTTTTGTGATCCTAATATCTTAAAACAACAGATGAATAGCTGCCGAGCAAAGGAGTCACTTATCATAGAAGTTCTGTAACGCTGACACAAGCTATTGAAAAAAATGATTCATAAATGTATGTATATATCTTACGTTATGAATAACCGAACTGAGTATTTATTTGAAATCTTATCTCCACTGCTTGCATTTTTTACGTATTGGTCGTAAATTCATCCTCCAAGAAGGTTCTTTACAACTCGATTCAGAAGATCGGCCTTATTAAGGGCTGATAGCTTGCTGAAATATCGAGCAATTTGGACATCTGAAAGTCATTCCTCCTCGGTGAACAATTCGTCTCCATCTGCTTATCTTAGATGTTTCATTTTAGATGCAACATCAGCAGAATTTGCCTTGTCACCGGTTTCGTCTCCTTGTAAGAAAATCTTTCGTACAAATGACCGCACTCTTTGACAAAATCCGATAGACTCCTAGTTCTTCAAAGCTCAACCCTCTCCAAAGATGGACTGTTGGCTGATGTTGCAGTCGATCCTTTTGTTGCTAGAGATTATGAATTCGTTGACGGAGCACCACCAACGGCTGCACCTAGCACATAATTTTAAAGGTTTCCCCCCAATTTGCTTGGTTAAGTGGCGCCCAACATCAAGACGTTTCTCAAGACTTTTGAATTCCTGGTAAACTTTTACGCAACGCATGCAGAACTTGGCCACATTGTACGGTAGGAAAAGCCGTTCAATGCTTGAATGCCGGCCGTTGTTTTGTAGATAGTGTAATCCCTGATATTAACGAGTGGATAGCGCTCATCCTCAGAGCACCCCTTTAAGACGCTGCACTGTTATTAAGAAACTGGCCAACAACCAAGTGCTTATAATTATGAAGTGAGCCAAGAAATTCCCCTAAGCTTGTTGCTGGAAAACACAGAGAAAATAGTTTGGGATAAAGGGCAGGTCATGGCACATTTTTCTCGCTCTCAAAAAGCACGCGGATGGCGAAGTTGTGGTAGAGTTCTAAGTACGAAATGGTAATTCTAAAAACGTTGCAGGGCAAAGTTTAAGATATGTCGATAGACTCAGGATGATTAGTGCACATTTCACTTGCCTAAAAGGACATGTAATAAAAGAAACCAATGGCCAAAAGTCATTATCTGGTGACACCATACATTGAACAAAAGGGATTAGCTAGAATAAGTCTAGAAGTAGTCTTCCCTCTTCTAGGCTATTTGATCAGTGAAATTCTACAGGATTTTAAAAGTGAAAGTATTTCAGCAATGTGCATAATGAAACGAAAAAAGATTCAATTTAGTTTCATAAGGTTTTGATAAATAGTCATTTAGTTTGTTTGATGATTTGGAGCTTTACCTCTATAGTGGCAATAAACTTAGAGGTGGTGTTGCTCATGGGATACTTGTCTTTCTTTTCCCAGACAAGAAGCTACACCCCCTTCTTTGATAAATGTACGCAAAAGTGGTCTGCCGTGGCATCCATCCTGGACGCTTGTTGCTTGAAATTCCAATTAACCTAACCCTTCTAAAGCTTTCTGACGATCTGATAACGCAGGCTTTTACATCAATACGTTTATTAAGCTGTGACTACCTCGCCTTTGAGACCGTACTTGAATCAGGCTAATTTTGAGAGAGTGCTACGCCACCGTTGCAAAAATTCAAGACTCTTTCCAAAATATAAAGAAGCACAGCACGGCTGGCATCAAAGCTTTGAACAACTTTTCCTTTAAATCTGTTTGGATGAGGGCTTGGAAAGTGTAAAATATGGGAAAGGGCTTATATTTTTTTCACTGGGACGGCAAGTTTCAACATGTAAAAATATGTACTTATTGACTGAGTGGGAGGGCCGGACGGAAAATATTTGGGTTGAGGTCATGACGTAAGGACCAAGCGCAGCGACGTCCGTGCGCCGTGACCGAATGCCAAATATCTTCCCCTCTGGCTCAAATAAACTCAGTCAATAAGCATTTTATTATATGACCACGAAGTGTTGAGGATTTCGAATTTTTTTAAACCTAAATAGGACGCGATAGACTGGCGCACGCGGGAAAACCGCAAGAAAACGTTTCTTCAAAAGAAACTTATCCCTTGTTTTCCCAAGTCAGACCTATAAAGGCATCTACTTCAAAGAGAAACGCGACTTTTTATTTTTTTTTAATTTTTCCTTTAAGTTTTTGCAGCAAATCTGTGTGACTGCAGGGCTGGGACGGCTTTTTCCGGACCTGGGACTGTACGCGAAGTGCCGTACGGTCATATAATAAAAGTACTTCAACCACTTAGGCAGCCATCTCAGATGCTGGAGGGTTCCATGTGGCAGCATCTCAGCCCCGAGTTACCATAACTGATCAGCAAGGGACGTTAAACAACCCAAGCACTTTTTGTAAAGAGAAGGGAACGTAGCTCACGCCGTTGTGGCCTGGCCCTGATTCCGAAATCAGGGGCACTTGCAACATTTCCTTCCAAAAACTGCAAACTCCTAAACGCAGTCCAGCCAAAGTCCCCGGCAAAGTGTTGTAATTAGCACACTGATAGCCTCCTAGGAGGAGGTTAAAAAAATACTCCACTCTACTCTAACAGGGTAATGTTACGGGAACAACTTTCCGTTAATGTACTTAAAATTCGATGGAGTCTTCCCCAAAGCTTTCCACAGAAAAAAAAAATTATGGTACATTGAGTAAAATTATAATAGGTAAATAAATCGTTTCATTTATGTAAAATACATTTGGCAAGCGTCGCTGTCACCTGTAGACGTACATTACTCAATTCGGAAATGTCAAATATATGAAATACACATACATTTTTTAATATTTTTTCCAATAAATTGTGTCAGCGTTACAGTTTTTCTAGGATAAGTGACTCCTTTGCGTGTCAGCAGTGTATCTGTCGTTTTCAGATATTATCACCCCATCACCCCATCATGATTCTGTAGCTGTTTAAAAAAAAAAAAAAAGCGCAAACTAGTGACACCAAGTGAGTGCTTTACTAATAAAGAGAAAAGTGGATTTGAATTATGTAAACTCATTAAAATAAAGTTTGATGGCATTGAATACCCTTGCCTTGCCAAAAAAGTCCAAAGGTAGAAAGTCTAGCAAGCAACGATTTGAAATGCCAAGGCGTTTCTGTTATGTTCCTGAAGACTGATAGTTTCAATCCCCGCAATATTAAGCTGAGCACTATTTCCCTGACCATCAAGCATGCTGTGGTGCATTTCTCCACCTTCCGACAGATGCTGTGCAAAATTAAACCTAAAATGCCTCATCAGAGATCTGTTGCGTCGGGATCTTATCTTAAGAAATGTAGTACGAAGAAGCCTCGCGGATTTTAAGTCAAAAATCGCGGAAATTTTGGCTAACCAGAAATTAAGCCTTTCATTTCTCATCATTGAATGAAAATCACGCGAGTAATGGCATCCTACCCTGTTACACTCTGTTTTAACCTAATCAAGTGTGTCAGTCATTCATGATATTCCTTGTTAGTTAAACCTAAGGGTGAGAGTGATTGAATATTTGCGATCTTAAAGAACAGCGTACTTGCTGCATACCATTACGACAAAGATTCCCGATACGGTATTAAAAACGGTTAGACAGATTTTCAGTCGGTAATATGATAGTGAAGGATATACGTCAATTAAACATTCCTGACCTTGACTAGATTTTCGACTTTGAAGAAATGGAATAATTCTCATTTTCGTGTAATCTGTTGATCAATAAAAATCCCTCGGACAACCACACGACGAGAACTTAGCAGAGACAGGCAGTTTTTTAAATGTGATTCTATCTAAGTTTGTCGCCTCTTTATGTGTTGATTTTCAGTAAACAATTAACATTTTTAAAATCATTAAGGAAGCTCTTTGTTTGTATACGGAACATGTCTTGGATATTATAACTTTATTTTATAAAGCCTATAAACTTTGCTCTATAAAACTTCTACTAAGTCCATGTAAAATAAAGTTGAAAAGGGCTCAATGTAGACTGATATAATGTTCCGTAATAATCTTGTGGCCATGTAAAGAAACTCAAAACATTAAATGAACAAGGTACTAGATCAAAACACTTAAAATTTTGATTGAACGAGTACACGATGAGTGTCTAATTATTCTTGTTTTGGTAAACATTTTCTTTCCTTTTTGGATAGCCAATAAACTTTAAGTATTTGGCTGCTATCGAATATTCGCGCGACTCGTCTATGGTTGGGCACTCCTTCCAGCATATTTCTAAACGTAAAGTCCCGCATTTTGACGGTAGCCCTCATGTATAATTTGGAATATGGTTCTTCCTAATGACCAGGCCATTCATTGCAGAGTTCAGTTATTTCTCGCTCACAACTCTCGGCTGTGGGACGTTTATCTGGGTCTCCATCCCAGCATCTCTCCATAAGTTCTTTCCAGCGGCGTGGAGGCTTCTTCAATTCCATAATATCTTTTGGACGACGCCCATGATCAACCAAGCTAAAGAAATGTTGGCTATTTAGCGCATTAACTTCGGCAAATGCTCGTTGTCCAAACCACATCTCCCAAAGCATTATTCCAAAACTGTAGATGTCTGCTTTGAAGTCATAAAGGTTGGAATGGAACACTTCAGGAGCCATGTACAAAAAAGATCCCGTAACAGTACCGGTGATTTCACTTGCTTCTTTAGAAACGCCGACATCACTTATTCTCACGGAATCATCCTCCGACAGCTTAAATAAAAATAAAGAGAAGTATATTTATTATTGGATTGGTAGTCTTTAGATGTTTTCCCGCATTCGTAATAGAGAGAAGTTTCTGTTCTTGATTTTACGAAGACGAAAACTTAACGTACTGAAAAAATGGCTTGTACCTCGCTTACAAACTGTTTGACAATCACATTTCTTAACGCTTCAGTCACTACCATTCTCAAATATTTTTCATCTTCTCCTTTCTGTTACCATATTGCTATCATGCGTGTCTGTTTTAGTCTCCTTTTTAATGATAATAATAATAACAGGGAATGGTCGTTTTCCGCTGACTTACGATGTGGATCACGGTATCTTGAATACATACTGGTAGTATTATGCGGGTAACGGGTTCAGTGTCACCCAAGAGCGAAGATTTTCCGCTGTGATTCAATTGGTTTAGAGATGTGTGCAGAAATCTTAGAAGTTTGGATGCCCACGATTGAAATTAAAACACTAATAAAAAAAGCAGAAAATACAGTTGTAGAATCTGAAGGCAGTGTGATACTTGAATAATCAACTCTATTGACTTACAAGGACTGGCAAGATGCTGTCAAAATATCAAGATCGTTGTAAGTACGTACCAAGATGTTTTCTAGCTTGAGGTCTCTGTGAATAATGCCTACTTCGTGCATAAAGTGAAGACCAGCGGTGATTTCTTTCGCCCAACGACAAACTCTAAGGTCTGCTGTTTTTCCAGATATACCCGGGACGGATTCTCGGTGCTTGAAGATGTAATCTTTGAGGCTTTCTGTGCACCTTTCCATCACAAAGATCACCCTTACCTCATCCTCTTTTTTCAAGAGTGCTGTCCCAAAAAACTTGACAATATGAGGGTGATCTAATTTTCTGTCAAAGGAAATTGTCACTTATGAACATGGTGGAGGGCGAAAGATGCTTTGTTGGCATCATGTTGAAATATCATGCATGCTCATTCATCATTCATCTTTCACATCAATCATCATCATATTGAAACAACATGTAGCAGAGTATGTACATTAAGACAGAGTTAACAAATAGACAGCAGTTTCGCTTGTTCTGCACTCCTATCGACAATAGCAAACTTGCCTATCAGATTGCGACATTACTGCCAATTCTGCTAAAAAATGGTATTGACGAAAAACAGCAAGTCAAGGTCGCAAAAAGTTTATTTATGAACAAGAGTGCTTATAACACACCCAGAGTAAAGAGTAGACCTCCAGAGGTAATCTACTAAACAAGGGTTCTTTTCAAAAGTAGGCATAAAAGTTCCCTATATGGCTTAACGTTACAGCACTTATCTAAATTCCTTTAATACAAACTTTCTTTCTCTACAAATAAATTGGAAGTCTCCAAAATCATGAAGTGCTTGCCACGTAAGATTCCAATCAATTGTTGCAATTATAGGATTAAAAAAGAGCCACACGGTTGATGCTCAATTTTTCCTCAAGCCCTACTCCAAATACGCGGCATTGTAGTTTGGGGGAAAATTAGAACATTGAGATTGAAATGGAGGAATTTTATCTCACCTCAAAAGGGTCATCTCTTTAACTAAGAGAATTGCATTCTCGGCGTCTAAAGGTTTGATGCAAACCTTTACAGCTACTTTTTGCTCGCATCCATGTCTTCTCATCTTTCCTTTGTACACATAGGCAAACGTACCACGCCCAAGAATGGAAGATGGATCATCCTTCCACTGCAACTCTTCATTGCAGTGGACACAGGCCTCTCTCAGCCCAAATTCTGCAAGGTGTCCTCTAATAGCAATAGCATTGTTCTTAATTGGCTCGTACAATTCTCTAATCTTTTGGTGTGATTGCTTGTTGTCACGGAGTTCTTCACATAACTTTTTGTCGGCCTGAATCATCTGTCGAACCTGATTTCCAATTTGTTCCAAATATTTCAGGTGCTTTTTGAGCATTTTATTTACCATAGACTTAGCTGCATCTCCATTTATAACACACTGAAGAAAGCTCTCTTTCATCCTAAAAGAAGGAGTAAAATTCTTCATCATAGGCATAGTGGCATCGGGTCCAGCCAAAGATCCGGAGATACCCCTGAATATTCCAAGCCTCTCAGAAAAGAGATCAAAAATGAAGACCACGGAAGCGCTAAACTTACAGTGTGGGTAAATTGGTGTGGCCATTGAGACTTCGCCTTCCGAGATGTCACGTTGAAGATTCAGGATTTGCATTTTTGCTAAATTGTGTTGCTCCAAAAATCGTTGAAGAGGCAAGCTAAAAGCATTTGCAAATACGTGATTTTTATCTTCCCACTGTTGCAAAATTACTTGCAGTTCTTCGTCTAGCTCACTTACGGATGGAGCAGGTCCGGAAAGTTGATGGGTGAATTGTGCTCGCAAATCCTCTGAATTGAGAAATTCGCAGAGCTTTGTTTCGACCTCGTTTGCACGGACTTTCATGTCTGTGCGAGTCCTATCAATAAGTTGGGTTTGTTGTCTCTCAAGCCCTTCCAGACGATCGTATGTAGTCTTGTTGTTCTTGACTTCTTCACGATCTCTCGTAATCATCTTTGTTTGAAAAATTAGTTGGTAAAATACAAAATCAAGCCATCTGTAGGGAAATAAGGAAATGAAAGGAACATTGAAATTCTAATTGTATTGTTATAACTCGTAATTTTACGTACGAACTAAGTACATACAAAACAGTAATAAACAAATCTTTACATAGCCAACCTAAACATCATTTCTCGTTGTAAATGACCTGGCTCATTTAATCCTTCTAAGTTACTTAACATATACGATGTAAGACTCCCACCGCGAAAAGAGTTTGCCCATAAATGTCAGAGTTTGAATAACAATGATGTAAAAAATTGATTCAAAGTTTTTCCTATGTTACTTATCTAAAGCGTCTTTCTCCTATTTTATTATTTGAATTTGTTTAACAGTTATAACCACAATAAAACTATAACACCCAATTCCATTATTAAAAGAAGGCATGCACTCACCTCCAGTGAATTCCCAACCTTTGCTCGATGCATTTCAGAACAAAAATGCGGATTCCATTCATCAGGGTAATGAGGTCGGCTTTAATCTCCCCGCGGCTCTGAGCATATAGAGCGTTTTTTACTGACATGTAGGTGATCTGGGATTCAGGAATAAGATCAGGCCACCACTCTGTTAGCTTGATCTCTATGTGTGCCTTAACAACGTCGGCTTCGTCCTCTGGAATTTGGTCCCATTTGTTGCAAACAAACAAAGCACATTTGGAGGGAAACTCTTCTTGTCTCTCACGCGCTATCTTGCCCAGTTCGCTCAGCAAATATACAAGCTTTGTATTAAGCAAAAGGTTGCCAATTAACACAACATGGCTACAAAGCACATAAAAATAGTCAAGTGTAAAAGGTTATTCATCACTTTGATATGTCTTTTGCAATACTATATATTGTTTTTTCTAAAATTTTAATTTGACTGCTATCCACATTGCACTAGCTACTTACCCTGTCTTTCTGAACCCCTCCAGCGTTTGCGCTGTTAATGACATAAATAAATCCAAAGGCTTGAGGAAGATACTCTGTCACTACTTCATCCATGACTTCCGATTCTCCAACCCCAGGACTATCAATGATAGTGACACCTTTCTAAAACACAGAAATTAGCGCCAAATATTCATCCACAGTCAATAATCATCTAGATTGTTCGACTTACTCTTTTTTGGCATAGTCTAGGTGCTCACGATGGTAAACTTTCAGCTGCTATAGGACATTAACCCGAGTTTTTGTTCGCTCAAAGTAATTAATATTTACAGTAAGATTGGACATGGAACCATGTTATTTTCATTCTAGTTCAGTCAATGTGGTTCAACTTTCCATATCAACTTATGGCATACTTTAAACAGGAAAGAATTGTGAAGCAGCATTAGTAGCTAGCTCAACTGATTTTCTCAGACAATGTTTTGATCTACGAAAGACATTTAACCGTTTACTGAATACTTACCTTCAACAATTGATGAGGCCAGAAGATTTCAACCCTTTTGTAAATTGAACCTTTCCCACGATCTGCACCTTTCACCTGGACAAAAGGTGAGATCTGCTGGAGATAGCTTTTCCCTGAAGATTCTGTTGGACTCTCAAGAAACATGGTCGATGTTAATCCTGTTTTCGAATCTGTGTCTTTGAAGTGCGCCACAATTTTTCTTTCCTCGCCGTACTTCAATTCACACAACGTGGAAGTTGTGCTCAGTGAGGAAGATGGAAGAAGCCTCTCTCCCAGAATGAGATTTATCAGGCTGCTTTTTCCAGCACTTGCCTCGCCTAAAACAGCAAGATAAAAACCATTCTCTATGATGCAGCTGTAGTTTCTAAAACTACTTGTGTGACCGTAAGCATGAAGTACGTTATTGTTGATTCGTCAGATTCTCGTGAAAGTGTTAAGATTTTGTTCTAACAACAAATGCTTTCAAATCTTTCAAGGTCAGTTGGCTGGCATTTCCACTCACTAGTACCGATAGTTAATATAAGAGAACGTAGTATAGAAATAGCAGTTAGTAGATCAGTGTTAGAGAATCAGAGTCACAGATAGGAGTCAGTCGGAAAGTGGTCAAAGAAAATTGAGATAGGAATATTGGCTTTTGGTGGAACTTTTCTACTTGCAGCAACTATATTTTTCTCTTTTCCCTTCTCTTTGACCAATCTTGGACTGATTCTGGCTGACTGTAGCCATGTCCTGTTAAAGTCTTTACATTAAAAAAGAGAGAAACATGACAGGCCTAGTATCCTTGGTGCCCTCCGCCAAGCGTGGTATACTAGTTTCCTACTAACCAAGATGAAGCAATACTATAAACCTCTCTGAAATGGGCCAATCCTCTGTCAAAGGGAGAAAGTTTCTAAAGAAACTGTGGTGCTGCGCCGGTAAAGAGTATAGCAGGGTAATTTAGCATTATTTGTTTGTTTTAAAACGCCGCTTGTTTTTAATAATTTCCTGTAAACTTCCTTTTGATTTATATTTAGTTATTATGTAGTCAAGTACGTGATCTAACATGAATGCGTCCGTAGAAATCGAGATTTCCTGGAATTGTATCATAACTTTGGAATCTTTGCTGCCCAGGAAATATTTCTTATTTTGACGGCTAAATTATTTGCAACGCCTTAGCCTTCTTCACGTACCATAGCCTATAATCTAATCTGATCCAAGCTACCGCTATCTCTAGTGTATTTGCTATTTTTTGTGGACGTGCGTCGTCAACCAAAGTAGGTAAGTCTTTTCTTTGTTGTTAATTAAGTCACGGAATCATTAGCCTTTTCTCGGTCATAGAATGTTTCGTTTAGTCAACTAAGTGTTATTATCACAGTATTATAGTGAAACTATCTTATTAACAAATTTTCTTTTTTTCTTTTTAAAATGTTATTCTTTTATGCTCATTTAGCTACTCTTTTTTCAGTACTATACTGTTGTTTGTACCTTCGTTTGATAATAATTTATATGACACGAGAATTATCACGTCTATTCATTTCACGCTAAGAGTTCGCTAGTTTATTGTTGTTCAAAGTCTCTTGATTGTCTAGCGTTTCTTTTCAGCCTTACCTAAGTTAGATTCTATTTTTAATTATCGTATTTCAGTCCGAACCTACAACTTGATCTGCACCTACAGCTACTACTATTCTTTCTACCGCTAACGCTACTGAGGCCAATGATCTTTGATCTACGCTATCTTCATGACCCTTCATGTCAAACGCAACCGATTGATCTAAACCTTTGAAATTTGATCTGTCATTAAATCTGTTTAGATCTACCAAGTGAAGTTTGCATTATTGTCACCTTGCACCGCGCCACCCTTGTAGTTGCTGAGAATTTGAGTAAGCCGCAACCTCTAGCATCTTCATAATTACCATAGCAACTGAGTTAATATCGTAAATTGGCCTCCGTAAAGAGTTTAAAATCCGACGTTTCGAGCGTTTGCCCTCCGTCAGAGCGATAGACGAAGGGCTAACGCTCAAAACGTCAGCTTTTAAACTCTTTAAGGAGGCCAATTTACGTTAGCAACTCAGTTGATAATACTAAATTAGCCAATCCTCTGTCAGTCGCGGAATTTCACAAGCCTGGGCCGCGTTGTTCAAAGCTGGATTAAGATAACCTAGGGTTAGTGTGAAATTTGATTTCAGATCTGAAAGCTTGAAGAGCAAATTCAGTTTATTTCTTTTTGACTACAATTTGATAATTGAATGCGCTAAAAACAATGGGTAAAATTATTCCAAAACGGCTTTTGAACAGAGAAATATAGAAACCTGGATTAAAATTTAACCTTGGTTTTGCGCTAATCGGCCTTTGAGCAATTAGGCCCTAGAGGCCAGGCAAATAAATCTAAGGCGGTTGTTTTGGTTGAATTCTCCAATATTACTCACCTGCAACAAGAATATAGTATTCCTTCTGACTGAGTTGGCTGATATGTTGCGTCATCTCCTCTAAAATTGTGGTTATATTCAATTGCAGCAAAGGCAGTGAGCGTTTCTCATTCAGTTGCCTCAAAAAATCTTCAGCTTTGGAAAATTCATCCAGCAGTAGGTTTCTTTTGCGTTCATCTTCAATTTTTGCCTCAGATAGAATAGAAAGAGCCTAGAAAAGCACATAAGAATTGATTCTGAACATCATTTGACAATGCCTGCAGTATTTCCCTCCCCACTCCTACCTGGCCGACTGTTCCTGTTCATGTAAAACAAAGTTCTGATCAAAATGTCAAACTGAAAAGATTTATTCTTGGAAATAGGTTAATAAGGCCAATGCTCTGGCCAAGTTTGAGGATTTTGCTGATTTTGAAACTGTCACTTGTGCGTCCGGACGATATTTACGAAGCACAACTCTTAAATCTATTCACACAAGGAATTTCATCTCTAAGAAAAATCGTGACTGCACGAGTTTAACATAACCATTTTAATGTGTTTGATATAGCCAATGAGCTTCCGACACGTCACTCGACTTTCACGCCACTCTGTCGGGTTGATAAATGAATGGCAAGGCGTTCATCGTTCTCAATGCAAGATCGTTTGTAGAAATTTTGGTCGGATTATGGTTGCTAAAAACGCTTAAAAAACTCGTATCGCTCACTTACAGTGACGATCCAAATTTCCTAGAAGCGGAAGAAAACCAAACTACGTTAAGAAAAACCAAAGTATTTGGACCTTAAGCCTTATCGCCTACGCACCTTACGTCGCACTTTACGTCGCGGATTTTAAATCCTAGTTTGTCTCATTCATTTAAAATAATGTCGGCTCTTCTAGGTAGTTAGTAATAAGTAATCGTAATCTAGTTGATGTCACTAATTCGCTGCGCTAACTCGTGAGTTATCTAGTTGAACACTCGAAGGGAAAATCCATATCTACGAGTGCCCATGTCTCAGAATGTAGTATTCTTTATTTATCACCTGTAGCGAATAAGCCTGTTGACCCTTAGTCACAAATTAGTTAGACATGAATCACACATGGAGAATCACACTCTCTGCAAGTTCTAGTCGATTCTATCGAAAACATTTAACAACAAGGGCGATTTCAGATACCACGGAAAACTACACTTTCCTACAGATTGCCATCCTGCAGCTGGTTTTAATTTGCTGCGATTTGTGATATGCTACGTGAAAACTTGTCACGTATTTCCCTGGAAATAGCTCAGGAACCTAGTTAGTTTTGTTTTCCCAAGAGACGAAGACGAGGGAAACATCAGAACTCCACGGAAACAAACCCAACTAGTTTCCCGAGGGACCATACATTGAGTGCTTTGCTATGTATTTAGACTTTCTCTTAAACAATCATATGGTAGTCTAGGTATATAGCTAGGAATCTTAACCGCTCAAGTTTAGTCGTGCAATCTGATAAGTTAAACTTAACGCTTTACTTTTGTCGGGAAACTTGATATAAAAGAGATTCAGAGTAGCAATTGCTGCACAACTTCATTAAAGGATATGAAACTTTCTTCGAGTACAGATCGGGTATGAAAAAGCAATTTAAACGTAGAATCGTTGGATAACTGGTGGCAGTAAATTTCTCGGGTCTCCAAAGCTATTTTCTAACACATTTACGGCGTCAAAGTTGTTTGTTTTGGCAAAGCACCTAGCCAGCATGGAATTTCAAAAGGCATACTACTTTCCCTTTTCTGTCAAGTTTTGATGTCAAACGGAGCACATTGATTGGCTCTGATTCCAAGGCATCAAAGCAACATTAAAGCTCACCACGTTAAATGTCGTAGGCGCTTTGTCTGATCCAGGTATATTTACATGGGAAATTTACCAAAGGAAATGTCAGTCACACTCACTGAATACATTTTACTATGGTATCATAACTCCGTGTTTCTAGGCATAATATTTAGTGGGCCCTATTTTATTCAAAGGTTGAACATAAAATATAACAATTTCCTAGCTAAAAGAGATATTTCACCGAACGAAAAAAACCATTCAACAGGAAGATTTCGATTATTCTGTTTAAACAATGAATAAGTGCAACGCAGTTTCAAGGAACAGCTTTCAATTGTCTAAGAAACGCTTACCTGATCGGCCTTCCATCTGGCTTTGTTAAGAGATGTCTTCGAAGCAGCTTCTGCGCATGTTATCGTTTCATCCAACGTTTTTAACCCTTTGCATGAAATATCAGGCGCCTCCATACCTCGAATCTCATCTTTAGTGTTGTTGTCGACTTTGTCGACAATATTTACTGCCAATGCATCCTCATTTACTCGCGTCAGGGTGTTGCAGATGAAATACCGGTAAAAGCAGAACAAAGGAATCAGGATAAGGCTGAGATAAAGCAAAATGTGCCATAACCATTCCATCTCAATTCTCAAGACAAATTGTTGTTGTGTGCATTCGTGCGAGAAGTGCAATATCTACTGAGCAACATGATCAGACACAGGCTAGTTTTAGTCCCCTTCCGCTGAGCTCATTTGTTTCGTTTCCATGGTGAAATGCAGATTTAGTGTGTACCATTTTAAATTTTATAATTCGCTGGCTACTTGACTGCCTCTCCGAACAACTAATTAGCACACAAACCGTATAATATTAAGCCAAGCTTTAATAATTATTCGATCTAAAAGAAATACATTTATAATTCGCAATTAGAACAAACACAAATCAAGTCTTTATCTTGTAACTAAATTCAAAAACTTCAATATAAACTTACTTCTGTGGCGGGTCGTTACAACAGTCTCACTTTACGGGTTAGCAGGTTCTCCAGGTAAGCGGATTTAGAGACAGAAAAACGATAACAAAATAAATTCTTTCTCACTTCGATTCTGCTGAAAAACTGACTTAAAACGTAATAATCTAACGCTTTTAAATCAATCTATTGAATTAATGTCAATCACGATTCTTGTCATCGAATAAATCTGTCAACACGAGGCAACGCCTATTTATTAAACGAAACATTTACAAGTGCAGCGATAAGTGTTAAATTTTGTCAATACGTTGACTTATAAATAATGAAATTATGGATCTCCTACGGAAGTATATTTGACTCTTGTCGTAAAAAAACACCCAGTGAGTGCTTTATTGATGAAGAAAAGTGGATTGGAATTACATAATCTCAATATAATCAATTTTGATAGTATTGATTATCCTGACCTTGCCAGAAAGTCCACAGTTAAAAGGTTTAGCAAGCAACAATTTGAAAAGTCTATTTTTAAAAGACTGACAGTTCCAATCCCCACAATATTAAGCTAAGCATTATTTCCCTCAGGAGGGAGCTGACCATCAACCATGGATCAAACTGCGACGCATTTCTCTATATTCCGACAGAAGCTGTGGGAAGATGTTATCATGGGAAATGTGGTATGAAGAAGAAGCCTCGCGGATTTTAAGTCAAAAAACGCGGAAATTTTAGCTAACCAGAAATTAAGCCCTCATATTTCTCATCGTTGAATGAAAATCATCACACGAGTGAAGGCATCCTACACTGTTACACTCTGTTTTAACCTAATCAACTTTGTTAGTCATTAATGATATCTTTATTCAGTGAGTTAAACTTTAGGGTGAGCTAGAGTAATTGAGCTAGAGAATACTTGCGATCTTAAGAAACAGCGCTGTACCTACTGCGTATCATTTCGACAAAGCTTCTCGATACAGCATTAAAAAAAGGTTAGATAAATTTTCAGTCGGTAATGTAAAGGTGAAGGATATACGTCATTCAAACATTCCTGATATTGGTTAGGTTTTTGATTTTGAAGAAATAAGAAAACTTTCATTTTCGTGTAATCTGCTGATCGATATAAATTCCTCCGACAACCACACGACGAGCACTTAGCAGAAACAGGCACTCAGTTCGTCACCTCTATGTGTTGATGTTTTGGTTAAAAAATGTTGCAAAATTCTCCACTGCGTTAAGGAGAATTTCTACGGAGCGCTGGTTCGACAATCAATAGGAATGTATCTTTCTGATTTCCTGCGTTTATTTACGATATACAATATTGGAACTTTCTACATTCAATCGTTCTCGACGTTCAGCTAAAAGACAGTGACTCTATTTATATGCTTTTACAACGGAAATGCACGCCTACACTACGTAAAACAAAGACTGATATTACTTACTCATTATTTACTCAAAAATCCCAAGCTATTACCTTTGTGCGCGCACGCACTATTTGCGGCACGAATGACACATCACCAAAGTAACAAGATGTTCCAACCCAAACGCACTCGCACAATTTCCCTTGACAATTCCTTACCTAACTGTTTCAGACCATTATTGATTTTCTATATCACTCCTGCCGTGCGCAATCTTAACATTCTTGCTACAAGTCTGTCATTACCGTGCTACGCTTAATTAATTATACACCAAAATTTTAAGTAACTCAACTGTCATCAAACCCTTAGCTTAATTTCTAAATCAGGAAAAAAAGTATCACGCGATACGCTCGCAAGATTATCGCGACAAAAAATTAACATTTTTAAAATCAGTAAGTGAGCTCTTTGTTTGTATAGAGTGTCACACAACGGGATGTCATGGATCATGTCTTGGATATTATAACTTGCTTTTATAAAGCCTGTAAACTTTGCTCCATGAAATTTCTGTTAAATCCAGGAATAGAAAGTTGAAAAGGAGCCAGTGTAGACTAGTATACTTTTTAGTCGGGCGACCAAGTATAGGTTTACCCTCGGGTTTCTCCACAAAGCTCAGTCACGTGCAATGAGGAATACCACAGACACGTAGTAGGTCTCACTAGAATCTATAAAAGCGGGAATCTTTAAAGCGTGGAATCTTTAAAAGCGGGAATCTTTTAAACGGAAAATCTTTAAAAGCGGGAATCTTGAAAACGGGGAATCTCTAAGAGCGGGAATCTTCAAAATGGGGAATCTTTGAAAGCGGGAATCTTTAAAAACGTAATAATTTTTTTGGCAGATGGCAGTGCCACTCAATCATCATTTCTTTTATCAGCCGGAAAGATAAGTTAGTTATCAGCCTTGTAAGTAATCATGATTGAATACTCTGATCTTGATCGTTTTCCGGTATTATCTTCAGGGTTCAAAATAACAGCCGGCTGCCGTTTTAAAAGTTTTCTGGAAACGTAAACAAGTAAAAAGTTTCGAAATTTGAAACGTGCTACAGGGAGTATTTTTATTCAAGCGTGAAACATGCAATTTTGTGTCCATACCGTCAATTTACCGTGTTTATGTTTCTGCACGTACATACTATTTTAATCAAGATTTATTTTCCACCAAATCCTGTTTAATGTCGTTTGTATAGCCTTCTCACGCGTTCAAATTAAAGTCGGTGCTTGACAGTACGGATTTTCCATAACTCTAAATGATGAAGCGCGACAGTTTGTTTAGACAAAGTTGAATATTTCACGCTTGAACAAACACCGAAAAATTGACCCGTTTTGACTACGCTTTGTTAGAAAGGGACTGAGGTGCTCATCATAGCTTTTAGAGGTTAAAAAGGGCGGGTTTAGTACCTCTTGGGCTGTTCAGCCTCATAAGGTCCACAGCAGCAGCCTCTGTGATACCTGTCAGGGTATTGCACCAAAAATATGACAGTGTGTTGTTGTAGAATTGGTGCCTCTCAGGGGTGAAAAAATTTTACGCCACGCCCACAAACCAGGACCATGGTACCTCTGTATTTCTTTTAGAACCACTGCACATCGTGAGTGGTCAACACTTATAACAGCGCGTTTACCTGTAGCCGGACTTACGATCTTAGATTGTCTTTTCCGTAATAATCTTGTGGCCATGTAAATGAACTAAAAAGATGAAATGAATTAGGCACTAGATCAAAACACTTAACTTTTAATTGAACGAGTACACAATGAGGTTCTAAAGAGGTTGCTGTTGATGGCCTATAAACATTAAGTATTTGGCCATTATCTAATATTCACGCTTCTTGTCTTTGGTCGGGTGCTCCTTCCTGCATCTTTCTAGACTTAAACTCCACCATTTTGGGGGAATTTTGAAGCTCTGCAACTCCTTTGGATAGTGCCTATCACCTATAGGACTATCATGCTCTCCATAGATTGTGAGCGCATGTCACCGAAGGCTAATCGCCAATACCAGACTTATCATGAAATGCCTGCGATCCCGTCGTCTAATTTCGACTGAAATACCTCCGGTGACATGTAGACAAGGGTCCCCGAGAGCAACCGTGAAATCCTGCTCCTCTTTTGAAACATCGACATCAGTATTTTTTTCTTGAGTTCTCCTCTGATAGCTGTAATACGAGCAACAAAAACACGGGTAACTCCTTGTCGAGAAAAATGCTTCAGATGGTGGACTTGTTCTCGAAGGTAAATAATTTTATCAGAATGTACACATCACTTTTTTTAAATCAGGAGGGATATCCGATACAAAATGTTACATTTAGATTTAGGAGAGCCGAATAAGACAGCGCCGACTATTTCTTTACAAACAAAGTTATATGCATACATACAACAGGACAATTTATATCTGAATCAAGCCTTGGGAAGGCTTTTACTCCAAAAAATTGGTATACATATACTTGAGGTACGTACATTCTAAAACAAAATCTATGTTCAAGTTAAAGCAATGAAAAAAAAGAAAGCAGCCCGTAAAAGCAAACCCTCGAGCTGGAGGTGACACTTCTGCGTAGAATAATGAACTTACAAACATGTTAGTCAAACTGCATTTACATGTTATTTTTCTAGAATCGCTCCGAACAAATTAATAAGGCATAGAAAACTTTCGATAGCGATTTTTCACGCAGATTAACTTTCCAAAGGTTTCGTTTTCCCGCTCTGGTGTTTACTTTCAGCATTGTAACAGTACTATTGTGATTCGATTTAAGGAAGCTCCATAGAGTTTTTGACCGCGCAAGATTCGGAAGTATACCCATGCTCAGATACCGATCGATCTTGGCTAAGTTCTATTCGATAACGAAATATTTTGGGATTAAAAAGAAAAGAAATCTTCTGAATAAGATTTATCGCGTTTCTTATGATTGAATTACCGAAAATTTGGCAAAACGTTTAACATATTTATGCCCTTTATGTTGCCAATTAATTAGAAAAATGTCATGCACAAGTTCGAATGGGAAAACGAAAAATGAAAAAAAGCGAAGAATCTGCCCGTTTAACCTCTCTTATTTCAATTTCACAATTATTAACGGCAAAAAGTGTCACTTACTGTGAAAATTGTGGAAAAATGTCACCGAAGTAATTGGAGCCGAGCGCCTTCATTTATTTTGTTTTACCTCAAGAACGAAAACCTGTTTATGTTCATGTTGATGTTGATATCAACTACAGAAAATAACAGTCTGAATCTTGTTTATTACATTTTGGTCAATTTTAGTGATCTTGAAGGCAGAAAGCACATAATAATTATCTATGAAAAGAACGCCAGTGCATATGTCATAATCAAACCAACAACGCTATGGAGCCACTTTAAATTGATGACGGATTTCCATGTAGCGTGTAGGGAAGAAACAAAGTCAATGATACAACAAATCAATCTGCATGACGATGGCATGAGTCACGTTTACTCGCGAATTTGAAATTTATCCGAATTAAAATCTCACCATTCAAAACTAAATCCCAATGAAATGAAATGCAGTTTAATTGTTGCTTCCCTGAGTAAAACTACCATGGTTCCATGGTTGTACAAAGAAATTACCTGGTACCATTCAGATGATTGAAACTCATCTTAAACTGTAAAACCATTAACTCACTAGTCATTTCCCTTCTTTCCACAAACACCTGCTTATATCTCCAAGGAAGAACTGTTAACTCTTTCCAGAATCTTGGCCAAAGACATACCAAGCTGTTGTGTAATGTTCAGCCATGCCACAGCCTTCTTTTTATTGATTCCGCAACGAGGAACAAAACGTAATCTTAGTGAAGCGGGTGGTCGAGGTAAAAATTAATTTGTAGGCCAAAAATGGTAACAAAATTGTGTTGCAACAATATTGTATTGTGTTAGTGATACGAATGGTCCTAGCCATTGGCACCCTTTGATGTGAAATTAAAAAAAGACAGATGTTCGAAAATGCTAATTAAACTTGTCTGCTTGCTTGTGATATAAGCAAAGTATATGTGCAATTATTGACGGTAGCCTTTATGTATAATTTGGAACATGGTTCTTCCTAATGACCAGTCCATCCACTGCAGATTTCAGTCATTTCTCGCTCACAATTGTCAGCTGTGGGACGTTTTTCTGGGTCTCTATCCCAGCATCTCTCCATAAGTTCTTTCCAGCGGCGTGGAGGCTTTTTCAATTCCATGATATCTTTCGGACGACGCCCATGATCCACCAAGGTAAAGAAATGTTGATTGTTTAACGCTTCAACTTCAGCAAATGCTCGTCGTCCAAACCACATCTCCCAAAGCATTATTCCAAAACTGTAGATGTCTGCTTTGAAATCATATAGTTTAGAATGGAACACCTCAGGTGCCATGTACGAAAAAGATCCCTTAACAGTACCGCTGACTTTACTTGCTTCCTTAGAAACGCCGACATCACCTATTCTCACGGAATCCTCTTCCGACAGCTTAAATAAAAACAAAGACAAATAGAGAGTAAAACACGGGCGCGCGTAGAAATAGAATTTCTCTTCGAGTGTTTAACTCGATAGCTCACGAGTGAGTGCAGCGAACGAGTGAGATGTCGAGTTGGACACGAGAAGAGAAATTGCATATATACAAGCAGCCATGTATTATTTTGTTTATCATATAAACACAATAGCCCTTTACTAACAAGAAAAGCCGACTTCATTAATGAATGAAAATAAACGAATCAACAATCCCCGAATAAAAAACCGTTCAGTGCGTTGGCGCTAACTCGCAAGACGGAAAAATCGTCGAATCATGATTACAAAAACAGAAATAGTCGTAATTTTCAATTACAAAATTCTCATTTGTTGACTTCTTCCTTACCGAAAGAAGAAGTCTTTAAGGTAAACGGCCAAGATCGGCCAGTGGCAAAGCTTCCAGTTGTCAATTTTTATTCTCAGCCGCGAGAAATGCCAACATCAAAGCCACTGAATACGTAACTTTTGGTTTTTTCTTTTCGTATATTGGTTTTTTTCCCCTTCTAGGAAAGTTTCAACCTCATTGTCTGTCAGCGATACGGAGTTAGCCGTCAAAATCCGAGGAAGTTCCTACAAACTACCTTGTATTGAGAGTCGTGAAGGCTTTGCTGTTCATTTATCAAGCTGACCGGGTGGCGCCAGAGCCGAGTGATGTGTCAGCAGCTGATTGGCTATATTAAAACACGTGAAAAAATAGATATTTTTTCACGTGTGCTGTTACGGCTTTTCTTAGGGCCGGAAACCCTTGTATAACACCGCAGTTTATGTGATAAGTATATTTATTATTGGATTGGAAATCACTAAATGTTTTCCCGCATTCGTAATTGAGAGAAGTTTCGGTTCGTAATTTTGTGAAGACGAAAACTCAATGTACAGTAAAATGGCTTGTATCTCGCTTATCAATTGTTTGACAATTACATTTCATAATACTTCAGTCACTATCATTCTCTATTATTTGTTCGGGAAATGAACTTTACGGGTTAAGTGCAGTGTCACCCAAGAAGCGACATTTTCCGCTGTGATTCAGTTGGTTTTGAGATTTGTGCAGAAATTCTAGAAGTTTGGATGCCCATGATTGAAAAGTAAAACTATAATTTTAAATGACTAATCAATTCCATTGACTTGCAAGGACTGGCAAGATGCGATAAAAATATCAAGATCGCTGTAAGTACCTACCAAGATGTTTTCTAGCTTGAGGTCTCTGTGGATAATGCCTACTTCGTGCATAAAGTGAAGACCAGCGGTGATTTCTTTCGCCCAACGACAAACTCTAAGGTCCGCTGTTTTTCCGGATAGACCCGGAACAGATTCTCGGTGCTTGAAGATGTGATCTTTGAGGCTTTCTGTGCACCTTTCCATCACAAAGATCAACCTTAACCCGTCCTCTTTTTTCAAGAGTGCAGTCCCAAAAAACTTGACAATATGAGGGTGATCCAATTTTCTGTCAAAGGAAAATATCACGCATGAACTATGGTGCAGGGCGAAAGATGCTTTGTTGGCCGTACGAAACAACACACAGTAGAGTATGTACATTAAGAGAGAGTTAACTAGTCGACAGCAGTTTAGCTTGGTCTGCACTCTTATCAATAACAACAAACTGGCCTATCAGATTGCGACATCACTGCCAATTACGGTAAAAAAATGGTATCGACGAAAAGCAGCTAGTCAAGCTCCCAAAAAGTTAATTTATGCTTAAAAAGTTAATTTATAATTTAAAAATTCTGACACGCCTAATGTAAAGAGTAGACCTTTAGAAGTAATCCACCAAACAAGGGTTCTTTTCAAAAGTAAGCATAACAGTTCACTATACGAATGAACGTCAACAGCACTTATCGCAATTCCTTTGATTCAAACTTTCTGTTTCTACAAATACATTGGAAAGTCTCCGAAATCATGGCGCGCTTGCTGCGTAAGAAAGAGCCAAACGGTTGATGCTCAATTTTTCCTCAAGTCCTACTCCAGATACGCGGCATTATAATTTGGGGGAAAATTAGAATATTGAGATGGAAATGGGGGAATTTTTTCTCACCTCAAAAGGGTCATTTCTTCAACTACGAGACTTGCATTTTCGACGTCTAGAGGTTTGCGGCAAACCTTCACAGCTACTTTTTGCTCGAATCCATGTCTTCTCATCTTCCCTTTGTACACAGAGGCAAACATACCACACCCAAGAAAGGCAGATGCATCATCCTTCCACTGCAACTCCTCGTTGCAGTGAGCACAGGCCTCTCTCAGCCCAAATGCAGCTAGGTGTCCTCTTATGGCAGAAGCAGAGTTCCTAATTGGCTCGTACAGTTCTATAATCTTTTGGTGTGATTGCTTGTTGTCACGGAGTTCTTCACATAACTTTTTGTTGGCCTGAATCATCTGTGGAACTTGATTTCCAATTTGTTCCAAACGTTTCAGATGCTTTTTAAGCATTTTATTTACCATAGACTTAGCTGCATCTCCATTTATAACACACTGAAGAAAGCTCTTTCTCATCCAAACAGAAGAAGTAAAATTCTTCATCATAGGCATAATGGTGTCGAGTCCACCCAAGGATCCGGAGATACTCCTGAATATTCCAAGCCTCTCAGCAAAGAGATCAAAAATGAAGACCACGGAAGCGCTAAACTTACAGTGTGGGTAAATTGGTGTGGCCATTGAGACTTCGCCTTCCGAGATGTCACGTTGAAGATTCAGGATTTGCATTTTTGCTAAATTGTGTTGCTCCAAAAATCGTTGAAGAGGCAAGCTAAAAGCATTTGCAAATACGTGATTTTTATCTTCCCACTGTTGCAAAATTACTTGCAGTTCTTCGTCCAGCTCACTTACGGATGGAGCAGATCCGTAAAATCGATAGATGAATTGTGTTCCCAAATCCTCTGAATTGAGAAATTCGCAGAGCTTTGTTTCGACCTCGTTGGCTTGGGCTGTCATATCTATGCGAATCCTATCAATAAGTTGGGTTTGTTGTCTCTCAAGCACTTCCAGACGATAAAGTATGGTGGTCATGTTCTTGTTGACTTTCTTATGATCTCTAGTGGCGTTCATCGTAACCATCTTTGTTTGACAAATTAGTTGGTAAAATACAAAATCAAGCCATCTGTAAGGAAATAAGGAAATGAAAAGAGAATTATAACTCTGATTGTATTTTTTTATAACTCGTAGTTTTAGAACGAACTAGGTACATACAAAGCAATAATCAGCAAATCACTAAATAAGCAACGTAATGATCATTTCCCATTGTAAATGACCTGGCTCGTTTTAATCCTTTAAGTTACTAACATATACGATTTAAAACTCGGACCGCGAAAAGAGTTTGCCCATTAGTGTTGGAGTTTGGATGACCGTGATATAAAAAATTAATTCAAAGTTCTTCTTATGTTACTAATCTAAAGTTTCTGTCTCTTTTTTAATCATTTGACTTTGTTTAACAGTTATAACCACAATAAAACTATAACACCTAATTCCATAATCAAAAGAAGGCATGAACTTACCTCCAGTGAATTCCCAACCTTTGCTCAATGCATTTTAGAACAAAAATACGGATCCATTTCATCAGGGTGATGAAGTCGGTTTTAATCTTTCCACGGCTCTGAGCACCGAGAGCATTTTTTACAGATATGTAGGTGATCTGGGATTCAGGAATAAGATCAGGCCACCATTCTTTTAACTTGGTCTTTATGTGTGCCTTAACATCGTCGGCTTCGTCCTCTGGAATCTGGTCCCATTTGTTGCATACAAACAAAGCACATTTGGAGGGAAACTCTTCTTGTCTTTCACGCGATATCTTGCCCAGTTCGCTCAGCAAAGATACGAGCTTTGTATTAATCAAAAAGTTGTCAATTAACACAAAATGGCTACAAAGTACTTAAAAAAATAGTCAACTTTAAAAGTTTAATCATCACTTTGATTCGTCCTTTGTAATACTATTTTTTCTTTTCTAAAATTTTAATTTCACTGCTATCCACATTGCACTAGCTACTTACCCTGTCTTTCTGAACCCCTCCAGCGTTTGCGCTGTTGATGACATAAATAAATCCAAAGGCTTGAGGAAGATACTCTGTCACTACTTCGTCCATGACTTCCGATTCTCCAACACCAGGACTATCAATGATAGTGACACCTTTCTAAAACACAGAAATTAACGCTGAATAATTATCTACAATAGACAATCATCTAGATTGTTCGAATTGTTCTCTTTGGCATAATCTAGGTCTAGAAAACTATCAACTGCTATTGGAGATTGAACCGATTTTTTTATTCACTCAAAATGTTTGATATTTACAGTAGGACTGGATATGGATCCATGTCATTTTCATTTTTTTTTAGTTTATTAGTTTTAATCCTGCAGTGAATGTCAGCCCGTTCATATATGCCAGTTCATCTCATCTAACGAGGTTGTCAATCAACAACCTCCAAGTTTGGTCTCGATGTTCATGATAGCTGATTGGAGAAACCAAAATCTTGATTACTGATGGGGGTTCAACTTTCCATATCAACCTATGGAATACTTTATACGGGAAAGAACTGTGAGACAACACTAGTGGCTAGTTCAGTTTACGTTCCTAGGCAAAGGAGGGTATTACATACTTTCAAGTATTTCCGTAATGTTTCGATTTACAGAAGACATTTAACGGTTAACTGAATACTTACCTTCAACAATTGATGAGGCCAGAAGATTTCAACCTTTTTGTAAATTGTACCTTTCCCACGGTCTGCACCCTTCACGTGGACAAAAGGTGATATCTGCTGGAGATAGCTTTTCCCTGAAGATTCTGTTGGATTCTCAAGAAATATGGTCGATGTTAGGCCTGTTTTCGAATCTGTGTCTTTGAGGTGCGCCACAATTTTTCTTTCCTCGCCGTACTTCAATTCACATAGCGTGGAAGTTGTGCTCAGTGAGGAAGATGGAAGAAGCCTCTCTCCCAGAATGAGATTTATCAGGCTGCTTTTTCCAGCACTTGCCTCGCCTAAAACAACAAGACAAAAACAAAAACAAAAATAAACAAAAAATGCTTTCATCCTGATGTACTTTCTAAAACTGTGTGTGTGTGACTGGAAGCATGAGTTACATTTTTGTTTATTCGAGAGAGTCTCGTGAAAGGGGTTTTTTAATATCCTTCAAGGTCAGTTGGCCGGCACCTCCACTCATGCCTATCGATAGTTAATATTAAAGAAAGTACTATAGAAATAGCAGTTGGTAGATCAGAGTTAGAGAATCAGAGTTAATAAGAGTCAGTCAGAGAGTGGTCAAAGAAAACTGAGAGAAGAATATTTGCTTTTAGTAGAACTTTTCTACTTGCAAAAACTTTAATTTTCTCGCTTCTCTTCTCTTTGACCACTCTCGGACTGATTCTAGCTGACTCTGGCAATGTCCTGTCAGAGTCTGTTATATTAAAGAAGAAAGAAACAGGACAAGCTTAATATCCTTGTGCCTTCCGCCAAGCGTGGTATGCTAGTTTCCTTCTGACCAAGATGAAACAATACTATAAACCTCTCTGAAATGGGCCAATCCTCTGTCAGTTGCGGAATTTCATAAGCCTGGAGGCCAGGAAAAAATCTAATGTGGTTGTTTTGAGTAAATTCTCCATCATCACTTACCTGCAACAAGAATATAGTATTCCTTCTGTTCGAGTTGGCTGATATGTTGCTTCATTTCCTCTAAAATTTCGGTTATATTCACCTGCAGCAAAGGCAATGAGCGATTCTCATTCAGTTGACTCAAAAAATCTTGGGCTTTGCGAAATTCATCCAGCAGTAGGCTTCTTTTGCGTTCGTCTTCAATTTTTGCCTCTGATAGAGTAGAAAGAACCTAGAAGAACACATAAGAATTATTTGTGGGCATCTTTTGACAATGCCTGCCGTATTCCCCTCCACTCCCACCGGACTGTTCCTGTTCATGTAATAAAAAAAGCTAGTCAAACTGAAAAGACTTATTCTTGGAAATAGGTTAATAAGGCTGATGATCGTTTAAAAATAACTTTAATGTTTACGCAAGTTTCATATCGCCAATCAGCTCCTGACATGTCACTCGCCTTTCACGTTACTCTGTCAGGTTGATAAATGAATGGCAAAGCGTTCACCGTTCTCAATCCAAGATCGTTTGGAGAGACTTTTGTCGGATTATGGCTGCTAAAAACACTTAAAAACTCGTATCGCTGACAGACACTGAAGATCAAGATTTCCTAGAGGCGGAAGAAAACCAAAATACTAAAAGAAAAACCAAAGTTACGTGCTTGGACCTTGAGCCTTACTGCCGACGCACTTTACGTCGCGGGTTGCAAATCCTAATTTGTCTCATTCATCTTTATTTATCACATAAAGCGAATCGGCCTGTTGATCCTTAGTCACAAATTAGTCAGACATGCATCACAAATGTAACACATGGAGCTGTCTGCACTTTATAGTCGACTCTCTCAAAAACATGCGGTTTCAGATGCCACCGAAAACTTCACTTTCCTACAGATGGCATTCCTGCAGTTGGTTTTAGTTTGCTTTGTTAATTATATAACCAGCAGTTAGACGCAATTTGTGATATGGTACGTGAAAATGCGTCACGTATTTCCCTGGAGGGAAATATTGAATCTTAACCGCTCAAGTTTAGTCGTGCAGACTGATAAGATAAACTGTACGCTTTACTTCCGTTAGCCTGACCCGACTTGATGCAAAAGAGATTCGGAGTGACAATTGCCGCACAGCATGCAACTGAATACCTTTGTGTTATCCGTCACTTCACAAATTCGCTCTTGTCTAAACCCCGCCACGCGTTGAAGTGTATGAAATCTTCTTCGAGTACAGTTCGGGTATTAAAAATCAATTTAAACATAGGATCGCTTGGTTAGCTTGTGGCAATAACTTTTCCGGGTCTCCAGAGGCATTTTCAAGTACATCTACGGCGTCAAGAGTGTTAATTTTGGCAAAGGCACCCAGCCCGCATGAAAATTTAAAAGGAATACTACTTGTCCTTTCTTGATATCGTCGAAGCACAATGATCGGCTCTGATTACCAAGGCACTAAAACAACATTACAGCTTACCACGTTAAATGTCACAGGCGCTCTATCTGATCCAGCTTTGAAGTACATTTACATAAGAAATTTATCAAAGGAAATGTCAGTCACGCTCACTGAATACATTTTACAATGGTATGTAGCTCCGTGTTACTAAGAATAATATTATTTTAGTAAGCCCCATTTTATTCAAAGGTTGAACATAAAATATAATATCTTTTTGCCAAAAGGTACATTTCAACTGACAAAAAACGATCTGACAGGAAGATCAACAAGATTTTACTGAGCCGAGGTCTACGTTCGTTACAATTACGATAGCCTTGCACACACACACATATCCGCACGATTTCTGCTTTCATTCACAAACTAACCACAACTAAATCAAATGTTTTGTGTTGTCTTCAAAGTTTACCCGTTTAATAATGTCAATGTACACGTGATATAATGATTGCCATACAATCCATCATTGACAGAGGTGAAACGTATAATGAATCAGTAAAGCATTGTTTGATATATTCACTGCAAAAACTTCTCTGATGCATACGCTTTTCGGTAAGTTTGCCAAAATTATCCTAATAACACATTTCGAATTTATTATTCTTTACTTTTTCGCCACGGTAGCAAAATTCAGTTCATCTGATTAGTCGTGTGTTTGAGTAAGTTATTCAAATCTGGCTTCCTCAGTTTGGCTCGATTTCAATTACTTTGTTTAAATAATGAATAAGTGCACTACACTTTCAAGGAACGGCCTTCAATTGTCTAAGAGACGCTTACCTGATCGGCCTTCCGTCTGGTATTGTTAATAGATGTCTTCGAAGCAGCTTCTACGCCTGTTTTCGTTTCATCCAACGTTTTTAATCCTTTGCACGGAATACCAGGCGCCTTTATACCTCGAATCTCATCTTTAGTGCTGTTGTCGATTTTGTCGACAACATTTACTGCCAATGTATCCCCATTTACTCGCGTAAGGGTGTTGCAGATAAAATACCAGTAATAACAAAAGCAGAACAAAGGAATCAGGATAGGGCTGAGATAAAGCAAAACGAACCATAACCATCCCATCTTAATTCTTAAGACAAATTGTTGTTGTGCGCATTCGAGCGAGAAGTGCAAAGTCTACTATGCAACATAATCAGACACAGGCTAATCCTTAGTCCCCTTCCGCTGAGCTCATTTGCTTCGTTTCCATGGTGATTTAGTGAGTACCGTACTAAATTTCATAATTCGCTAGCTACTGGAAACGAAAAAGCTCACTGCAGTATCGTGTGATCAAAGATGACTGCCTTTCCTAACAACTAATCAGCTTTAAAATTTGTCATATTTGAATCAATTACAGTCTTTCCTTTGTTTGCCTCTTGTTTTCAATTAAGTTGCCGTGCCATTTTAAATGATGTTTTAATAAAAAATTCGATGATCCCTCTCTTAACTTGAAACGTTGAGTTATGGCTCTTAAATACTGATTACAAACGCATTCGCTGGATTAAAAATTTACTTGCAATATGCAGGTAGTGAGAAGTACATTTACGCATCTTCTCGGTTTTTCTACAGATACTTCACGCATAAATATCTTGTAGATATAGGCATTTATTCGTTAAATAATATATGAATGTACAGTTTTTCCCATTTCTATTAATATCTTCACTTCTCGAGTCAATGACTTTAAATGGTAATTACTAGTCACCAACGGAATCCTTCCTCACTCCCTGACCAAGAAAATTTAGTGAACGATGTTCACGTCCAGAGCTTAATCTCAGGAATTCGACTCTTGAGAGGCGGGAACCCATATCGTAGTTGCAGCTCTAGTTCAAGTACTTGTATAGACAAAAGCGACGTTTCTGAGTAGTCACTCCGTTTTCAAGGCGACGTTAAAATGTAGGGAAAAGTGATGGACACCTGAAGCTGAAGTAGATTTTGAACTATTACCACTCACGTGTCTGCACCTTAAACCAAAGGTGCAAACGACATCAATTTTCCCGTCTTCTTTTTGCGTTCGACAAAGGAGATATAATATAGACTTAATTGCGTAATTTCATGGGACTTACGGAGGATACCAAGAGGGTATGAATTGTTTAATCTCTGACGAATACTAGCAGCGTCAAAAACGAATGACATCATCACAAGGCTAAGTGCAGTCTGGCGAAAGGGAGAGAGTGTTTGAATTCGATACGAACTCGATAAGTTACACAGTGCAGTGATAAGTGGTAAATTTTGCCTTTTAATATGTTGACTTATAAATAATGGGGTTATCTCCTAAAGAAGTATGTTCGACTCCCGTTGTTAAACTGCAGTTTGGGGCTTTGATCTTCGACAAAAAAAACTATAGCTGTGTCATCAAAACGGATGAATGTGAACTCCTACGAAATAATTTTACTCTCATGTCCATGTTTTTACTTAGCCCATTAAGTTGCACAGTTTGATTTGTGTTCAGAAAACTAGGTCATCGAGATCACCTTGCTGTGTAACTCGGAAATTGGCCCTGACTCGTCCTCAGACAACTAAGACGCGGAGTCATGTAAGTGGCAGATTTTTTTGGAAGACAACTACATCAAATTGCCTTCATTTCACCCTGGTCTTGTTAAACATGGTTCAAATTTATTGTTCCACTGATACTATTGCAACATTTCTATGTACTTTACTAGAAATAGCAAATTGTTTTGGAGTACAAATGTATTAATTTACCTCCATTTCCCTTTTCTCTTTTGTTCCGGTACTCCCGGCCTTCTCACTAAAAATATCTCATCGAACGTGCTTTACTATTCTTTGATTGCCATTGGCTTTTAGCCTGTTTATATTTTTCTTTGCCTAGGAACTACATCTGTGTTAAGGTTCGTTAGATTTAGCTCATTCGCTATGCCGAATACTCCTCTGTAAAACTGGTTGGTTGCACATTTTCATACAACAGCCCTTCCAAGTTGACATAGTCCTAAGAAGAATAGAAAGCGACCATTTAAAACAAATACAAGAAAAATAACTAGATGAGAAGCCACGATATTGTCAAAGTATAATCATAATGGCTTTGAGAGAGCAGAAAATTGATTTCCATTTTAAACGTAGGGATCTGACGAGATATCTCACACATCGATGGACCAAGGCTCTTTAATCAAATATTTCAGTCCTGACCTGTTCTTCATCCCTGGTCATGCTGTGTATTCGTGACCGTAGACACTCAAAGTCTGGTCTCTTTAAGGGATCAGTCTTCCAGCATTCCATCATGATTTTGAACCTGTTTGAAAGAAAAATAATAATAATAATGATAATAATAAGAGTTTATTGTGCATATACACTTAGCTAACTTAGCTTATGATGTCCTTTCGATCCTCCGCATATTTTTCATATAAAGATTTTCCTTAATGGATTTGTTTCAACGTATAGTACACATATGCAATATATAGGCGTACATCTTGTTACAGCGTGGCTTAATAAGACTAAAGCCCCCAAACTTTTCACAAACCAGCACAAGGCGGGTATATAATCGATACAGCGAGGCAGGTATATACTTCCATTTGCTTTAGATTCTTTTTGGTTTCTGGCCCCATCAGCCGAGCTTCCTCAAACGTGCTTTCATAGACAGGTACTTAAAAATGAGCACGAAACAGGGAAAGGTCGTCATATAACATGCTCAAACTAGACAGAATATCAATGTTGTCTCTCACTACATAACAACATTAGATGGCAAAACTGCCGATAATTTCGAATCAAGGAGTAACATTTCCCTTTTAAACCAGGGTTTGTCACAACTTTTCTATCCGCTGCCCCAGTTTTCAAATGTCAAAGTGTATCGATCGATCGTGTCTCGCTTGGCTCGTTCTTGACTTAAATAATAATCTCTGTATAAGCACTCGGCTAGAGTGTAATAGAGAACAAAGCAAAGGAAATTTGAGCATCATTGCTTTTGTTGCCTAAAAATCGTGACTGTCTACTTTACGATAATAATTACTTACAGTTTTGCACTGACAAATTTTGGGCGCGGCATCCTGTACTCGTTCTTCAACATGGCTGGGATATCTCTCATATACACCCCTGGAAAAGGGTCACCACCTATTAAGTGTTAACAGAAAATTTAAAAAGTTATTAAATGGAAACTAGGAATCGTGTAATCCTTATTAGAAAAAGAGTACCTAAAACATCATATTGAATCTTAAGAAGCGTTATTCGACTGACGACATGCACAGGCAATAGTATGTGAAAACCCCATGACAGAAACAAGCGTTGTTTACTGAATACGGAGTGTCAGGAAGGAGTTTCCTTTGAGAGCGATTTTGGGATCCCAGGACCTTATCGCTGTATTCCTTCGTTTTTTTTTTTTTTCTGTTATTATCTCTTTTGTTTTTTTGCCTGGTCGCTAACAACTTCACATAACGAGTGCGTCTTAAGGAAATACTTGAAAATCACAGAGCCGCTTGCATCTATGCATTTAGTAAGAGCATTTTTTCAGCTCAAATTTTAACTCACCGACAGTGAAGATCTCGTACATGACCACACCAAAGCTCCACCTAAATTTATATAATAGTAAAAACGCGAGCCTATTCAAATGTTTTGCTTCATTTGAATGATAAAAACACTTTGATTGCTGAAGTTAACACTAATCAGTTAAAAACTGATAAAATTATGGCCTTCAAGTTTAAACAAATTGAAAATAAACATTAATAAGATAAAAGGTTCGGAAAAATTGAAGATGGCTTAGAACGCAGTTTTGTGAAAGAACGGCTCTGGTTTAAATTACCGGCCCATAATGTTTAAGAGCCCCAACTGGCAGGATGCCAATTTAACTGGAGGGGGGGCAACAAAGACGAAATCCAGTGAGAAGCAGGATGGAGAGCTTGAACCTGGGAACAGTGCCTTAGCTTTACCCTTTAACTCTCATGAGTGATCGAGACACAATTTCTCCTTACAATATCGCAATACTAGCAGACAAGTCACGAAAATAAAGAAAATTATCAATAAAGGGATTTTTTTATTTCCAATGCCAGATTCCCCAAAGTAACATCATAAGAATTGAATGACAAAGAGTAAGGGGAATTTCTGATGAGATCTTAGGAGTAAGGGGGTTAACGAAGCTTAGCCAGTCAGTTAAATGACAATATCAAGTCCTTTCGGTTGTCCATTATTGTTTTGGAAAAGTATATTTCTTGAGCTGGATATCAGAAGCTGATAAAAGCGGTTTGAAAGAGAACTAAGAGAAAATTGCATTGAATATAATTTCGTTGATCTCAATGAATCGTGCCAAAACTAGTCAACCAAAATTATTTGATAACACAAAATGTAAAACAGAAACAAAAAAAGGGGTTTATTCTCTTATCGTTTTACTTCTTAACTGAGATTCCCACAATCCAGACCATCGTCCTGTGTTCAAACGCAAAATATGAAAGAATTGGTCCATGCTTAGCGTGCGTATATCGAGTTCTGGATGCACACTGGAAGTTTGGAGCGCACGAGAGAAGCGTAATTCTAACTTCCCGCGTGCAACCATAACTCGATATACGCAAAGCTGAAGCATGAACAAATTCTTTCATAAAATGGTATGCAGACACAAATCGCACTCGAAATAAAAGAGACCTCATTGCAACTGTATTGGGTCCACTAGGTAACTGTCAGCTGTTCTACCCAAAAACTATGGATACATTACCCGGCAAAAACGACCGAGAAATATTTACTCAAATAATTGTAAATTTTCTGCTCAGAAGGCGAAAAACGAACGAAATTCTTACAAGCGCGATATCGCGCAGAAGATTCAGCATGCTTGAATCGTTGTTTACCAGAATTCACGGCCATAACATTGTATAGGTTTGTGTTAAAAATTGTGAAAATTTTAAAATTGCACGGTTCTAAAAATTAAATATTCTATTGGAAAATACTTTTAAGAAATATCGACACATATAAATATATCAATCGTTCAAAAATCTAAACGAAAAACTTTCAAAACTTCTTGCATTTACGAGACCCGGGTGGAAGATTTACCTGCTTTAATGGTTGTTTACCTGAATTTACGATTAGAAAATTGCGTAGCTTTGTGTGAAAAATTCTGAACTCTTTCAAAACAAAATCTTCTTTTAAACAACACTTTTGGGACACATCAAAACTTCAAAATAATATTTCCTGTTCTAATGCAGAGTCCCTAACGTCGCAAAGGTTCGGTTTAAGTCACAAAACTCAGTTTTATTTTCGGTCATAATTCCCATCGCGTTTAAGAATTAAGTTTCGTCGACTCAGAAACTAATTTCGTCGCTTGAAACAGCGACATGTTAATCTTTTTTCGAAACGAGTACTATTTAGCATATTTTCGTTCCATTTTGAGCTTCCTGAGGTCTATCTCAATCGGGATAGAACAGAAAAAAAGTCTTGAAAATTTGGAACTTCGCTGCTAAACTGAACGGGAAGTTTCAGCCGAAGTAAAACCAAACATGTCATCTTATGGATGCATGGCCATTGCGAAATTAAGAATTTTTACCAAGGTGGCTCTTTAGCAATTTGATAGGACTTTCACGCACGCTACTATGATTTTGATTATTTCAGGCAATTTCACAATATGTTCTTGTGATATCTGGGCGAATGTTTATGTACAAAACAAACTCACACGTCACTGCGTGTCGTATATGCACCACTTCCAAATAGAGCCTCGGGAGCCGTCCATTTAATTGGAAGACGGCCCTAAAACCAAAGATCACAATAACATAATCATGAGTGAGTTTAAACACTTTCTCTCCATATTGCATTTCGAAACTGAAAGTTATCGTTTATGTTATATTAAATTGCCCTATCGCAAACGTGCACACTTTGCAGTTGCGTGGTTTTCGAAAAAATGATGAGCAGGTTAATTTCACGTGGGCTGTTTAGTAACTTCTAACAACTGTGCTTTTTTTTAACAAGTACACTCTTTTAAATCAATCGGCTCAGATACAAGTTATTTCCAAATATGTTGTGAAGAATTACCTCGTGGGTTCGAACATATATATCCTCTGCCCAAACATCTCTGGCCATTCCAAAATCTGTGATTTTGCAAACGTCTTCGTCACCAACCAAAACATTTCTCGCGGCTAAGTCGCGATGAATGATCTAGTGACGAAATATAGCTATAAATTGACTTTCGAACTACTTGGGTTAACATAGATATTCATATTTATACTTCTGTCCTGATACTTAAAAAAAAATCAACATTAGAATAGTAATAATTATAACGTATTTATCTGAAGGGCCTTAATGTCCCAGAGTTAGCAAGATTGGTAAGGGTAATGAAATCTTGGAACACACAGACTTCTCCAACACATCCTGTGAGCAAAGTAGCAGCGAGTTAGTCGCAGATTAAATTTTTGAATTGTTGTAACAATGCTCTCCAGCTTTCGTATAGAAACACAACAGGTGACTTTGTAACCTTTTTCTTCGACAAGTAGTCCATTCCATCACTGATCTGCCAAGCAAACCGAAGCAGTTGCTTGGAAGTGAGGCTGGTGCGGGGCTCTACCGAGGGATCACTGTAGTAGTTATCTCGAACTCCTCGGCTCTTCCTCAGGTACCCAAGCAAGTCACCATACTGTGCATACTCGACAACTACGAGTGGCCGGGCTGAAATACGAGAAATTTCATCTTTAACTATAAGTGGCCTTCAATTAACAATATATTCTGGTTATCAGCTATTTCTCGATTTATTCACTAGACACTTGAGTTAGCTGATCATGTTCATGACTGACTGGATTTCCTTTAGAAGTCTTTAACAAGTGTCGCAAAGTAAACTAATTATGAAGATGATGTTGATTATATAGTCCATTTGTCCAAATAAATTTTCTCCTATGCGTTTACAACACTCTTCAGAGGACTTTGGTTAGACTCAGGAGCTTCTTTATCAGCTGTGCGAGCTGTAAGCAACTTTGCAGACCCCCTTATCTAAGAATATTTGGAAACAAGGCCTTTCCACTATGTAATTTACACATAGTAGTTCAAGGCGTGCTGAGATCATTGCATAATCTCAGCACACCTAGTTACAAACTGTAACTGACGCATATACATGTAAGGACGACGTAACGATGAAGCAAGACTCGTGCACCCCGGCAACACTTCCACAGATGACATTGACAGCAAAGATGCCACTACCTCAAGCTCACCTTCAGTAGTAACACAACCGTAAAGGCGGATGACGTGAGGATGAGGATCTAGGTGTTTAAGGAGTGACATCTCTGACAACAGGTCTGCCTTCTCTTTTTCTGAAGCATCATCTTTGTAAATACCAACAAACCAAAATTCCATTTAAATCAGAATTTAATCAACATTAAAATGACCAATTCTATAAAATCTAACTTCTCCCCAGCGCCACACTGATCATTTCATCAAATGTTTACGACATTGCTCGGATCAAAGCTTGATGGTTTTAAGTGTACATGTATTTCTTGTATTAGAGTCTTTTTTTATTAGTTCCCAAGTGTACAAAAGGTCTTTTTTAGTGGAAAATAAGGGGAAATGTAACCTTGAACGCTCTTCACTGCTACCACAGTCCATCCTGGTTTTCCCGGCAAATCAAACGCTAAGCCCCGTGACACCACGCCAAATGCGCCACGCCCAATAACCTTCTCCACATTCAGCCTTGCTCGCGGTATTTCCCATTCAGGGTCACCCGATGAGGATACGTTGCAAGCTCCATTTGGAAAAAACTCGTTGCATGTGGCTTGCGATCTCAAGGACACCCTGGTAATAGATAACGTCAGAGCTTAGGCTATACTCAGCCATATTGGTGGGGGAAGGGGGAGAGTGAGGAGTGGCAGAGATGACGGGAAAAATGACTGGAGTTAGACACAAACGGCACTAGAAAACATTCGACTAAAGTGAATTAGGTCGGTTTGCTTTTTAGTCTATGTTGTTAGTCATTATTTTTAAAAGTATTCATTCTGCGAAAACCTCTTGCCTCCTGTTTGATAGGGAGTGATAATTCATTCAGGAATTAATAAATACATACATTTGGAGCTCATCGGCTTCTTCACCTGAAATGGCAAAATTAATTCACGTTACTCACAGCATCATTAATTAACAGCGTATAAAACTATAAGACAATGTATGTCAAAATCATTTATAAGGTTAGTTTTTAACCAGATATTTACTCACGTGTTCGCTGATTTGTCTGTCCTCTGGATCTCTTAGCCATATATCGTTTGATGAAGAGAGCAAAGATCGCGATCACCGCTAAGCCCGCTGTTATAGACAGGTACTCGGTGAGTGACTCTCTGCCATCTGTTTTCGAGAGAATAGTTCTTCTAAATCACTCATAATCTAATTTAATCGGCAATTAAGGACATTGAAAATACAGGTTCTAACAAAACCCAAGGAAACTTAGAAAACTGAAATATTTCTTTACTCCCTAAAATTTGGAATTTTCTCCCAGTTAGCACAGTCTGTCCTATGAAATGGCCCGAAAGTTGATGCGTCTTCCCGCCAGAAAAAACTGGAATTTTTCATCACAAGGCATATCTCCTTGATATAAAACGATGTTATGTATTGCTATGTCGTGCATAATATAACGACGGAAAATTCCAAATTATAATTTCTGAAGGGCTCAACGATATAACCTAAATAACGTTCAAGCTCGTGCGAAAATGTTCACATATAGGCGGTCAAATTGAGCGCGCAGTATGCAGAATTTAAGCTAAGTAACTGTTTCAAAAAAGAATTCCGAATGCTAGAGAGTAATATTCATGAACTTTTCTCCTGAGGAACTAACCTGCATTGACATTTTTGGAGGCACTTGTTTCAGGTTCTTCGTGTAACTCTGGGTGTTTTCTGATACCTGTGGGATATTTCACGATTTATCATAGTTTTGACCAGTAAAAGACATTATTATCAACTAGGCTCAGTCATAATAATTACAGTCCACTTTCTAAGCGTTAATTCCGTGTGCATGCATTCTATGTTCCTCGTTATTTGTGGATTCGTGTAACTAACCGAGTTTCTATCCGCATAATGATCTTTGAGTTCTCCTGGGTTGCAAGGCTTTGGTAACTGCTCTAACTCAAAATAGATATCGTGACCAGGCTGTTATTACACTTACCCTTTTCGTGCAACGTGAACGTCACCGAGTCAATCGCTATCTTATTGCTTGCTAAACATATGTAACTTGTAAAGTCCCTATCATTTATGGGAGTGACTATCAAGGAACTTGAGTTTGAGTTATGTGAAAAGCCTTGCGTAATCTCTCCATCGTGCGTGTACCAAGTGAAAGTCGGGGAAGGATTTGCATCGGCTGTACATTTAAGCCTGGTTGAATTTCCTCTTGTTAACTCCAAAGCCACTTTTTTATTAGGGTTGATTATTTTCGGTGCATCTGAAAGAAGGAAAACTGTTTGGACAAAAATTTACACAAGGGTAAACACTCCTCGGGCTTAATCGGTTCTTCTATGGCCTAGTGTGAAATTTTTGCATCAAATAGTTCCTGGTATGTTTCAAAAGTGCATTAATTTTATGGGAAAATCTATGGATGGATAGCGGGATTCTCTTGTTAGAAAATAGAGGCTTCACTTTAAACTAGCAACCGATGAGTTGGGCACACTTCAAAATACTCACATAGAACATCAACAGCAGTAAAAGACGGGCTGTGATCTCCGAATTGGGACATTGAAACACACATATAGCTTCCAGCTTGTGATTTATTTATACTTTGAATGAAGAGGAATCTGTTTCGTCCTTTCTCGATGAGTCGGTTGTCTTTCAGCCACATGACAGATGTACTTTCCGTCCTCATTCTGGCGCGGCAAGTGATGTTCAGTGGTTCTCCTTCCTTAATCTCGAGGGTTATATTTTCAGGTTCTGCATGACAAAGAATGTTTATAGTTCTTCTAAATCACTCATAATCTAATTTAATCGGCAATTAAGGACATTGAAAATACAGGTTCTAACAAAACCCAAGGAAACTTAGAAAACTGAAATATTTCTTTACTCGCTAAAATTTGGAATTTTCTCCCAGTTAGCACAGTCTGTTCTATGAAATGGCCCGAAAGTTGATGCGTCTTCCCGCCAGAAAAAACTGGAATTTTTCATCACAAGGCATATCTCCTTGATATAAAATTATGTTATCTATTGCTATGTCGTGCATAATATAACGACGGAAAATTCCAAATTATAATTTCTGAAGGGCTCAACGGTATAACCTAAATAACGTTCAAGCTCGTGCGAAAATGTTCACATATAGGCGGTCAAATTGAGCGCGCAGTATGCAGAATTTAAGCTAAGTAACTGTTTTCAAAAGAATTCCGAATGCTAGAGAGTAATATTCATGAACTTTTCTCCTGAGGAACTAACCTGCATTGACATTTTTGGAGGCACTTGTTTCAGGTTCTTCGTGTAACTCTGGGTGTTTTCTGATACCTGTGGGATATTTCACGATTTATCATAGTTTTGACCAGTAAAAGACATGATTATCAACTATGCTCAGTCATAATAATTACAGTCCACTTTCTAAGCGTTAATTCCGTGCGCATGCATTCTATGTTCCTCGTTATTTGTGGATTCGTGTAACTAACCGAGTTTCTATCTGCATAATGATCTTTGAGGTCTCCTGGGTTGCAAGGCTTTGGTAACTGCTCTAACTCAAAATAGATATCGTGACCAGGCTGTTATTACACTTACCCTTTTCGTGCAACGTGAACGTCACCGAGTCAATCGCTATCTTATTGCTTGCTAAACATATGTAACTTGTAAAGTCCCTATCATTTATGGGAGTGACTATCAAGGAACTTGAGTTTGAGGTATGTGAAAAGCCTTGCGTAATCTCTCCATCGTGCGTGTACCAAGTGAAAGTCGGGGAAGGATTTGCATCGGCTGTACATTTAAGCCTGGTTGAATTTCCTCTTGTTAACTCCAAAGCCACTTTTTTATTAGGGTTGATTATTTTCGGTGCATCTGAAAGAAGGAAAACTGTTTGGACAAAAATTTACACAAGGGTAAACACTCCTCGGGCTTAATCGGTTCTTCTATGGCCTAGTGTGAAATTTTTGCATCAAATAGTTCCTGGTATGTTTCAAAAGTGCATTAATTTTTATGGAAAAATCTATGGATGGATAGCGGGATTCCCTTGTTAGAAAATAGAGGCTTCACTTTAAACTAGCAACCGATGAGTTGGGCACACTTCAAAATACTCACATAGAACATCAACAGCAGTAAAAGACGGGCTGTGATCTCCGAATTGGGACATTGAAACACACATATAGCTTCCAGCTTGTGATTTATTTATACTTTGAATGAAGAGGAATCTGTTTCGTCCTTTCTCGATGAGTCGGTTGTCTTTCAGCCACATGACAGATGTACTTTCCGTCCTCATTCTGGCACGGCAAGTGATGTTCAGTGGTTCTCCTTCCTTAATCTCGAGGGTTATATTTTCAGGTTCTGCACGACAAAGAATGTTTATGACCTCAAGCGTCTGCATCAGACACGGTTGCACCATTTCTATCATTAGGAACATCTATAACCCCTTCTAAACTTATGTCAGGCTAACTCCTCACAAAAAGGCTCGCTAACTCAATCTGCGCGTCAATCAACTGACTCCATCACTAACATTTACAGTCGTGTTTGAGCATATGGAGTTGTACATTTTCAGGATAGCCTGTCTAATAACAAAAAAAATTATAAGCATTGAACATCGATCGGTTAACGGTTAACGGTTATCTATGTATTCTAAGGAAGGGGAGAAAAGAGAGGGATTACCTGGTGGTCTCGTTGGTGATGGAGGTGGATCCTGTGAGGGCAGAGATGTTGTTCTTAAGTCTAATTACAAGACTTCACAAAGTAGCTATCCGCCTGTGAAAACTCTAAAAAACATAGCATTGAAGCAAACCTGGGAAAACTCGTATACTTCACAACTATTCACCACTGCTAGTGGAGGAAATTAACCTTGCCGCTTTGCAGCTCGGTAAATATCCATCGCAAGCCACCGACACTGAGGTGAGTATTTGCTTTAGTATGTACTAAAACATTGAGACAGTATGGCACAGAAAAAGTTCTTAATCGATTATTCCTACAACGATTCCTGCTGCAATTCCTGCCCGCGTTGCTTGGAGGTAAAAGTTATCAATAATCACGATAGAGGAGATGAAAAGTGGTGGATATTTACCGAGCCACGAAGCAGTGAGGTAAATATTCACTTCTTTTACCGACTCTGAGGTAAATTTATTATTCACTTCCGAAACAGCCAATCAGCTCGATTCACTCGATTAGCAATTTTTCCACGAGCGCGCGCTGGATATGAGACGGTAAATAGCCAACAAGGCGCATTGCGTCGAGTTGTCTGTAGCCAATCTCGTATCCAAAAAGCGCGAATGGGAAAATTGTTTTATTAAATTTCATGAAATCCTGAACGTTTGGATGTTTGGAGCATTTATTCTGCTCTACAACAGTTGACACAGCGTTTCCATATATGGTGACTCGGAATATGAGCTGACAACCGGAGTCGAGTGAACCAATCAGAACACTAGAAAAGCAATCTTCGGAGTTGAAATTTTGATAAAAAAAGGGCATTCGGAGTATGAGTAGCCAAAAAGGACGTGCCTTGAAAGCTATCCACTCTATTAGTAAATACTAACCTCGATTATTTCTCGATCACAAATTTATTTGACTGAATTTGCATGATATTTCTCTTTCTGAAGAAGCTAATGACTACATTGAGCTGAGCGTAATGAATGATGGAAACTGCCTATGCTTACCTGAAAGGAGAAGAGATTTTTGATGAAACAGACATCATTGATAATGTAAAAGAAGTGATTATAGCTCGCGCGTTTTACCTGACAAAGTTCTTCTCTTCCAGTTTATCTAATGCGCAAATGACCATTTCTCGAACTGTGGAGTACTCTTTTAGAAAGTTACAGATTTTTTTGGAGAAGAAATTATTTCTTACCTGAACGAATAGTGTAAACCCACTTTCTTTTAAATGACGGCAACGATCAATGCAGAACCTGATCCCATAATCGGAAGAATCTTTTGATTGAACGTTCAGAAGTTGGAAAGCCACAAAGCCACGGGCCAAGTCTCCCACCCACTGTAAACGCCTTGTGATTGAGGCCTCTGTATATTTTTTCACTGATTCGCTTCCATTTGATTCTCGAATAACTGTTACCCAGTGGTAACCTGAAATACTTTCGCCTTCTTTTCTCCAGTGAGCAAAGATGACTGTCGGTTGCTTTGATTTCTCCTCCAAAGTGAGGTTAAAATTCCAAGCAAATGTTTGGTTGGATCCAGTGAAGGAAATTGTCGTTTCATTTG